TTTGGAAATTTATTGGCTTAAGAAACTGGAGATGTACTTCACAGATGTGCCTTTAGTTTCAGGCCTTACTAGATACAGCTAGTCTTATGAAGACACTGTCTCCGAGCTCTGCCTTTCTCTGTATTAGCTTTCTTCTCAGCAAGTCATTTCTCTTAGAGTGCCAACAAATTAGCTGGTGATCCCATAGGGAAAACATGTCCCTGGGTTGGTTGGTGGTGATGGGACTGGGGGTGTGTGCCTGGCTGTCTCAGTCAGTAATGCATGTGACTCTTTTTTTTTTTTTAAAGATTTTATTTATTATTTATTTGACAGAGAGAGATCACAAGTAGACAGAGAGGCAGGCAGAGAGAGAGAGGGAAGCAGGCTCCCTGTCGAGCAGAGAGCCCGATGCGGGACTCGATCCCAGGACCCTGAAATCATGACCTGAGCTGAAGGCAGCGGCCTAACCCACTGAGCCACCCAGGCGCCCCAATGCATGTGACTCTTGATCTCAAGGTTGTGAGTTCAAACCTCACATTGGGTGCAGAAAGTACTTAAATAAATAAAATTTAAAAAGAAAAGCATCTTTCGTGATAGTTCTAACAAAAGTCCCTGGGTCACCTGGAAATTCCTAAATCAATCACTGTGGGCTAGGAAGATTTGATACTCTGACCAGATAGGCATGGGTCACATGGAAACCCTGAGGTGATGAAGAGGGGACACAGAGTGGGTTACCCACGATAAAGAAATTGTCTTTTACAACAAAAAGGGAGGGAGGGAGGAAAAGTATGGTGGGAAGGCAGACTCAAATCACCAGTCTACCACATTTCCTGGAAGAAATAGCTTGTACGCCCTCACTCCCTAGTCCTGTATCTTGGAGGGGTGATTTCATTGGCTCACAGCTACTTGAATCAATGAGTTTATCATATTCAAAGGCTGAAAGGGAGAATATTTCAACTCGGGAGTGTGGTCAAAGAATGAATCTCTCATTGGGTCCGTACACATATCACCTTGTTCTGTTGAACGTATTTCGATGCGATTTTTTAAAATGGCGCCCAACAAAATGCCATCGACTTCTCCAACTAATAAAGAAAATGTTGGGGCGCCTGGGTGGCTCAGTGGGTTGAGGCCTCTGCCTTCAGCTCAGGTCATGATCTCAGGGTCTTGGGATCGAGCCCCACATCAGGCTCTCTGCTCAGCGGGGAGGCTGCTTCCTCCTCTCTTTCTCTCTCTCTGCCTGCCTCTCTGACTACTTGTAATCTCTATCAAATAAATAAATAAAATCTTAAAAAAAAATGTTTAAGAATCCAAACTCTAGGTGACTGTGCCATTAGAGTCATAATAGATTTTTTTTTTAAAGAAATCCTCACAAGTCATCCTTAGCAAAAACTGCTCTTTGCCCCTTAGAGATTGCCTTAGTTAGAGGATACTGATTCCCTTTCTGTTTTCACTTTGGAATTATGTTCATCATTTACATTTTTTTAAAAATCGTGGCAGAATTTGCATTTTGACTTACCTGGTCCGTTACACAATGACTGTTAGCTAAGAGTTTAAAAAAGTGGCCACTCAGATCAGGTTAAAAAGATAATTGGGTATACTCTGTGGTGAACTCTGAGCTAATTCAAACATTGTTCTACAATCCTCAATATTGACATTCGGTGGCTGGGCTGCTAGTCACAGGCCGCTATGCTAGTCAGAGTTGGTTTAAAGACTTGGTATGTGTTAGAGACTAGAGCTCTTCCTGAATGTAAGAAGCCCACACTCTCCCTTTAACTATGGTATGTCCATGTGGACTGGCTCCCCCACCCCCATTTCTTTTGGCCAAAAGAAGGCAAGGGAGAAGTAGAGGAGAAGAGTTTGATGGTCATGACAACTTCTTCCTTTCCTAAGATTCTCTTTAAATAACCCTCAATTTTTTAAATTAACATATAATGTATTATTAGCCCCAGGGGTACAGGTCTGTGAATCGCCAGGTTTACACACTTCACAGCACTCACCATAGCACATAACATAGCATATAACTTCCCCAATGTCCATAACCCAACCACCCTCTCCCTACCCCCCTACCCCCTCAGTTTGTTTTGTGAGATTAATAGTCTCTTTTGGTTTGTCTCCCTCCCAATCCCATCTTGTTTCATTTATTCTTTTCCTATCCCCCAAGCCCCCCACATTGCATCTCCACTTCCTCATATCAGGGAGATCATATGATAGTTGTCTTTCTCTGATTGACTTATTTTGCTAAGCATAATACCCTCCAGTTCCATCCACATCATTGCAAATGGCAAGATTTCATTTCTTTTGATGGCTGCATAGTATTCCTGTGTGTGTGTGTGTGTGTGTGTGTGTGTGTGTGTGTGTGTGTGTGTATGTGTGTATAATCTCACATCTTCTTTATCCATTCATCTGTTGATGGACATCTAGGTTCTTTCCATAGTTTGGCTATCGTGGACATTGCTGCTATAAACATTCGGGTGCACATGGCCCTTCAGATCACTACATTTGTATCTTTAGGGTAAATACCCAGAAATACAATTGCTGGGACGTAGGGTAGCTCTATTTTCAACTTTTTGAGGAAACTCCATGCTGTTTTCCAGAGTGGTTGTACCAGCTTGCATTCCCACCAACAGTGTAGGAGGGTTCCCCTTTCTCTGCATCCTCGCCAGCATCTGTCATTTCCTGACTTGTTAATTTTAGCCATCCTCACTCGTGTGTGGTGGTATCTCATTGTGGTTTTGATTTGTATTTCCCTGATGCCGAGTGATGTGGAGCACTTTTTCATGTGTCCGTTGGAATAACCCTCAATTTTTACATCCTATTGAGAAAGCTACAAATGTGGACAGTGCCAAGACGGTGAGACTAATCATCAGTGTATCTATCATTCATTCATTCATTCATTCATTCATTCAATAAATCTTTACTGAATACCAACCAATGGCCACATTCTACACTAGATGCTAATATTACAGAGAACATGAAAGATAAAGTCTCTGACTTTATAAGACATTCCAGTGGAGAAGACAGACATAAACAAAGACCCCTGACAGCCAGCTGGAAAAAGGATGTAGAAAGGTGTGTTAATCAGGGTCCAGCCATGGAAAGAGAAACCATTCTAGTCATTTCAGGCAGAGGGAATTTTAGGAGTCACACATATCAAATGGAAGAATGGAGCCATAGCAAAGATTAGAGGCTGCTAAAAATTCTCTCGGTGAAACCCATGGGATCTACACCAGCTCTGGTGCCTATCACTGTCATCCTCTGTTTACTACGAAAGTGTCGCTTGGACTGAGGAAGTAACTGCTAAGAGTCAGGAATGGTCCCCTTTTACTGTACAAGCAACGATTACACTATTGAATCCAGAAGCAAGCAGGTTACTCTCCTCCTCCTACCTTATTTCCTGCTTACGCCTCCCCATGGTAGAAGTTTCTTGGAAGCTCCAGCATGAGAACCTGGGGAAAGCAGTTTATACACTCTGAGTCCCCGCCACTCAGTAGTATACAGGGCAAGTGTAGAAATCAGAAACGGCATATATATAATACACACACACACACACACACACACACATATAACCTCCAGAATCAAGAGTAGAAGCTAGGAAACCAGTAGGATCCCAGCACAACAGACTGTGCAAGTGAAATGATTTGGCTGGGACTAGGGTACAAGTGGTTGGAATTCAACATATTTTTGAAGATAAGGTCAAAGAGAAGAGTCAAGGATGATTTCAAGAACTTTGGCCTGAGTAAACGGGATAAAGGATGTAGGATTTATTGAATTGGGGAACGCTGGAGGAGGTGTGTCTTGTATTTGGTGGATGACCTCAAGTGAACTTAAGATGCCCATTAATACATTCAAACAGAGATGAACAGGACGCAGTTAAACATGGCCATGGGAGTCAGGAGAAAACGGGACTAGAGATGGAGTGTAAAGCCACGTCAGACCACCACCCACAGGGTTAGGTGAGGAGCTTGTGAGCTGGGAAAAGAGAAGAGGTCCTAGGGCTGGCTCAGCAAAGGAAAAACCCAAGGGCTCACCCAGGGAGGTAAAAATAAAACTAGAAGCGGGCATGGGGGTGGATGGATAACAAGCCAAGACAGGGTTTCTAGAGGTCGGCCTCTGGTCAGTGGGGTCAGCCTCCGGGGGGTCTGACGAGGACCTGGTCTGATTTGGCAGGCAGCAAGCGGGAGGCAAATCTGAGCAGGGTGGGTTCCCTCTCTGGAGGAGTCGTGCTGCAAAGGGGAACAGAAAAACGGGAAGGCAGCTAGCAGGTGATAGGCAGCCCAGGGAGAGTGGTTTTTGTTTTGTTTGTTTTAATATTTTATTTATTTAGGGGAGAGAGAGATAATGAGAGGAGAGAGGTCGGAGGCAGCAGCAGACTCCCTGCCGAGCAGGGAGCCTGATGTGGGACTCGATCCCAGGACTCCAGGATCACGCCTTTAGGCGAAAGCAGTTACTTAACCAGCTGAGCCACGCAGGTGCCCTCAGGGAGGGCGTTTTTAACGCCCTTCGCACTCGGCCAGCACAGCTGTCCATGAGGTCCTGGGTCCCTGCCCAAAGGAGGCGAACCTCAGAGAACTTTCTGGGAAAACCCTGCACGCTGCAAGCAGTCAACGCAGCGACGAGGGCGGGCGGCGGGGCACTCACTGCCCACGGACGCGGCGAGGCCGGGCCCACGACACTGGGCGGCGCCGGGCCTCTGGGCCCCATCGGAGCCACAAAATGGAGGAGGGACGGGAACCCCCTCTCTCGAGGGCGTCTCTGGGCGTTGGCCGCGCTTCCTGCCCCGGGCCGGGGCTCCCCGGAGCTCCGGCCGCTTCTCGGGTGCCCGGCTTCCCCCCGATAAAGCCTCAGCGTCCGCTCCGAAGACCACCTGCCGCACCCCCGCCCCCCGAACGCGCGCGCGGCCGCAGCTCCCACCCCCAGACCAGATCCCCCTGCGGCGTCCGGCCGCGGAGGTCACGTGGCCCGCGCCGGCCAATCGGCGCGCGGCTGCGGGTCGAGCCCAGCCCCGCCCGGCCGCGGTCGGACTGTTGGACCCGGGCGGTTGCGCAGATCGCCGCCGAGCCAGCGAGCGGTAGGGTGAGCTGTCTGCGTCTCCGGGTCCGCGCCGGGGGATGGGGTGGGGGGCGCCGGGGGATGGGGTGGGGGGCGCCGGGCCGGAGGGGAGTGGCGGGGAGGGAGGCGGCGCCCGCCCGCGGGGCCATCCCTCCGGCCCGCCACGCCCCCGCCGCCGAGGCGCGCCGCGACCTCCTGTCTCTCGGTAGGACCAGGCCATGGAGAGCCGAATCCAGCGAGTTCGCGACGCGTTCGCGTCCGGCCGGTCGCGCCCGCTAAGATTCCGGCTGCAGCAGCTCGAGGCCCTGCGCAGGATGATGCAGGAGCGCGAGAAGGACATCCTACAGGCCATCGGCGCCGATCTGTGCAAGGTACGCGCGCGGCGGGCGGCGCCGGGACACCCGCCTCTCGCCGTCCCACTTGGGGACGGCATTCCGCCAGAGCTTTTGCATTTTTTTTAAATTTATTTTTGATTACGCAAGCACCGTGGGAGTATTATCTCCAGCTGTACTGATAAAGCAAGTTTCCCGAAACTCTTACCTTGCTTAGCGCTTCTGATTGGAGAGAACAAATAGACTAGTGTCTTCTGGCCTCTTCCTCTGCTGTGATTGCTCTTTAGATCCTTGCCTGTTGTCTGTTGCATTTGAGGTCCTTTTCCTTATGATCTGTAAGAATTCTTCGTATATTGTGGATTTTGGTCATTTGTCAGCTTAATATCTCGCAAAATGTTTTTCTCCGCGTCTATTTCTTGCCTTTTGGTTTATGGTTTCTTTTATAGACAGAGGTTTTTGGGTTGTCAGTTGTTGCGCATAAGTTTTCCTCCCTGACTCTGTTTTAGGCCACGACTCCTCAAACTCGAGTACCTTGGTGAGTCACCTGGGGATCTTGTTAAAATGCAAGTTAGAGTTAAGTAGGTCTTGGAGGGCATCTGAGATTCGAAGTGTGTAACAAGCTCCCAGGTGGATACCATGTTGCCTACTTTGAAATCATACTTTTTAAAAATTATTTCATTTTCTTAAATCGAGGTGTAGTTGACATACACTATGATATTAGTTTCAGGTGTACAACTTAGCTGTGCAATATGGGTTTTTTCACTATTTCACCTTCTCTGGGTCCATCCATATTGTCATAAATGGCAAGATTACTTGCTTTTTTAGGGCTGAGTAGTATTCCATTCAAGACATACCGATGTGCGTGCGTGTGTACCATGTTTTCTTCATCTGTTCATCTATCAGACACTCAGATTGCTTCCATATCCTGGTTATACTCAATAATGCTTCCGCGAACGTATGGATGCATCAGCCTTTTTGAATTAGTAGGGGTTTTTTGGTTTTTGCCTTTTTCTTTAGATTTTATTTTTTAGAATCCTCTCTACACCCATTGTGGGGCTTGAGCTCACACCCCCAAGATCAAGAATCGCCTGCTCCACCGACTGAGCCTGCCAGGAACCCCTTAATTAGTATTTTCATTTTCTTTGGGTAAATACCGGGAAGTGGAATTGTGGAATGGGTATTTCTGTTTTTAATGTTGCACGCCCCCTAAAATTAGTCAATAAATCTCTTTCATGTATGGTCCGGGCGCTTTTCATGCCGTCTCAGAGTGAGTGAGTTTGTGTGGCAACACCTGGAGACCAGAGTCTTGGTTTCTTGTAGCCCTCTAGTTCTTCACTAACCCATCCCCATTCCAGTTAAGCCCTGCTGATTTTCAAAGGCAGAGTTACAGAGGCTCCTCAGTGCGGGTCCCCAGGGCGGGGACACCTGATGTGGGGCTTGAACCCCTCCATCTTCAGGGGGTATTGCCGCACCTGTGATGCCACTGCTGGTTGTGGGTCCCCGTGCCCATGGTGTGCGTTTGAACTAGATTGTGTCTCTACTCCTCCCACCCCGTTCCATGTAGCTTTTTCTTTATGTCTTTAGCTGTGGAAGAGGTGTTCTGTGGGTCTCTAGGTCATCCTCAGGGAGTTATTCTCTAGGCATTTGGAGCCTTGGAGAGGCCATGAGAGGAGGTGAGCTCAGAATTCTCCTACTCTACCGTCCTCCCCAAAAAACCTGGAACCACTTTTTGAGTAGCAAGGTGTTGGGTGGTTTTAGGGCGTTAGTATATTACTGTTTTCTAGTAATATTGTTATCACTTTGTTTTTATGTTTTATCTTTATTCCAGGGGTAACAAGGCCCTGCTCTGGCTCTGTGAGACCCCCTCATTTCCTGCAAAGATTATCTTGAGGGTAGTAACACCAGTAGTAGTAGTAACAATGCGATATCAAATAAGGTGGCATAATTAAGATTTCAGAAAGGATGAATTAGTCATTCTGTAAACAACAAATATTTGAGTATGTAGGTATATACGATTATTAAAGAACAGTAAAGACCTTGCTCTTGAGGGATTTAAATTTGGGAAACAAACTTAGTTATAAATCAGTGTGTGATGATGAAATGTTAGGATACACGCTAGAGGCAGAATTCCTGTGATTATATTATAAAGTGTGATCAAGACAGGCTAATAATATTCATCAGGGAAATCTTCCTGAAGGAGGTAATATTGAATCCTGACTTGAAAAGGCCTGCATCAGGGACGCCTGGGAGGCTCAGTCGGTTAAGCATCCGCCTTCAGCTCAAGCCCAGGGTCCTGGGATCGAGTCCTGTGTCAGGCTCCTTGCTGGGTGGGGAGCCTGCTTCCCTCTCTGCCTGCCTCTCCTCCAGCTTGTGCACACGGTCGCTCGCTCTCTCACCAATAAATAAAAATCTTTACCAAAAAAAATTAAAAGGCTTGAATCAGTAAAGAAGGATTTAGAGGGGCTGACTGTATTAGCAAGCCCTCACTGAGGGCGTGAAGGGTGTGAGTGTGCGCAGTAAACCAGCTTAGTCTCATAAACATCACTGCAGGTATACGTAATCTGGTTTTTGGCACTCAGGGCTGAGTGTGTCAGACTTGCACAAGGTTAACTGGGACTCTCTTTGTAACAGAGTGAATTCAACGCATACAGTCAGGAAGTCATTACCATTCTTGGCGAACTGGATCTCGTGCTGGAGAATCTTCCTGAATGGGTTACTGCCACACCAGCCAAGAAGAACTTGCTGACCATGCTGGACGAGGCCTATGTCCAGCCGGAGCCCCTGGGAGTCGTACTCCTCATCGGAGCTTGGAACTACCCCTTTGTTCTCACCATTCAGCCTCTGATCGGAGCCATTGCCGCAGGTCCGGGGTCAGCTTCTGTCTCCCTGACTCTTCGGAGGGGCTGCTTCTCTTCCATGGGTCGTAAATTAAGGAGAGTGGCTGATGAAACACATTTGCTATGGTGGTTTGCCTTGCCTTACACCAGCAACTACTGAGGATGCAAAAATATTATTATCATAAATGTATATTTAGCAAATGCAAAGCAGTTTATTAAGGTGAAAGTACACTCTCAAGGTGGGCAGGTCCTGCGGGGTGGAACCGGCCAAAGGTGGTTTTGGGATGGGATATTAATTCGTCTGGGCTGGGAGGAGCCGTGACACACAAAGGAATTTTTTTTTTTTAACTTTTTTTTTTTTTTTCTTTTAAAGTAATCTCTGTACCCAGCGTGGGGTTCCAACTCACAATCCTGAGATCAAGAGTGATGCGCTCTGGACTGAGCCAGCCAAGCGCTCCTTTATTATCTTTTTTTTTTTTTTTCTTTTTTAAAGCGGGCTCAAGTTTGCATGGTGCCTGTTTTTTGAAATACCCGGACCGTGAACCCATGAAGGTTTGAAGTCGTGCAGTGATAGGTTCCAGAGTTCGGAGTCAGCCGTCAGTGCTCTCGGGTGGTTGTAGTTATCAGCTCTGGTGTTTGGGCGAACCATTAGATTGTATTTGACCCGTTTCTTCATCTGGCTGGGGGCTGTGGGAGTCATGCTAGCTTGGGTATATGGCAAATGCCAGGAGATTGATTTCTTTCTTCTGCTAGATCCCAGTCAACAATGTTTGTTGACAACAAGGCTTGTTTGCCCAGTAATTCCAAGGCAAACGGGAAAGTCTAGCTGGGCGAGTGGGAGTAAAGCTAGAGGAGGAGGTGAGGATAATGGAGCCTACTGTCCGTGATGTGAAGTTAATGAGAACCAAGGAGTTTGAGGAAGTAAGACAAGATCTTGGCGCCTGGTGGCTTAGTTGGTTAAGCATTTGCCTTTGGCTGAGGTCATGATCTCAAGGTCCTGGGATCGAGCCCCAAGTTGGGCTCCCTGCTCAGCAGGGAGCCTGCTTCTCCCTCTCCCTTTGCCCTTCCCCCACTCATGCGTGTGCACATGCACGTGCTCTCTTGCTCTCAAATAAAATTTAAAAAACCAAAAAACGAAGAATCTCTTATGCTCGTTGAGAAAGTGTAGAATTCAAAGCTGCTGAAGTAATGGGAGTACCTAGCCTGTATTCCCACCATGAGCGCTGTTGTGGTAGGTTTTAAGGTTACTCAAGTGTTAAAAGATGCTCTCCTGCTTTTTTTGCTTTGATTAGGAAATGCTGTTATTATCAAGCCTTCTGAACTAAGTGAAAAAACAGCTCAACTCTTGGCCAAACTCCTCCCGCAGTATTTGGACCAGGTAAGAATGTCTTGCCCCATCCTCAGCGTATCTGTTTCTTGGTGGCGGCGGGGGGGGGGGGGTCGCGGGGTGGGGCATACAGCTGCTCTTCCTCCTAGTGTGTACCGTGGACGGCTGTCTGCATGGAGTTGCTGTAGGGAGGAGTCCTAATTTAGCCTTCATTTCAAGGCCTCTGTACAGTGTCGTAGCTGGAGTTGGACACATTCCTCGAGCAATCTGGAGGCTCACCGTGGGTTCTCCTTGCTGTCTTGTCACTGCCGCAGCAGCCGGCGGAACTATGATGTCCCAGTAGCTGTGGTTATCCGGCTCAAGAGGGCGATGAAGACAGGATGATATCAGGGGTTGAGTAGGACTTGGAACCAGAAGATCAAGGTTGAAGGTCTACTTCACCACTCACCGGGGGTTAATTCTTGACTTTCCCACTCAGTGGGGATAGCGAGGCCCACCCCCGCCTCGCTCTCTCTGAGTTTGTTGGGGGACTAATCACAGACGTTCTGTAGATGAACCCATGCAAGTTACAACTTGAAGCATTTGCTGAGCACTTGAACTGTGGAGTGAGTGAGAACTAATGAGCCCTCCTAATTAGTAGGAGATCAGGTGGAAGCGTGAGGCCCCCAAGCCTGCTTCTATCTCATGCGCTCCGAGTCTTTTGAACACCTGGCTCTGTGTCCCTTCCTTGCCATATGTTCCCTGTCATTGCTTCTTCGAGTCATGCTGCTGCATGACACATTCTTCCATTCCAATAGTGAGAAGAGCATAGGGCACCGAGGGCTCAGCCCAAAGCTGTTGGACCTCTCCCCAGTCCCGGTTAAGGAAACAGGCTCACAGGTGTGTGCAGTAGGGTTGCTGAGGGCCCCTAGCTAGCGAGTGACAGACCCCAGACTTGGTCTGGATCTGACTTCTAGAGCGGAGATTCTCCCCCGCGTTGCCTCTCCCCTGCATTACATCAAGTTGTGCTCACTCCATTCCCCTGCCTCCTGGCCTGGGTTGAGCTCTGCAGGGTTGTGTAGCGCTGGAATGTTCAGCTCGAGACACTCAACTGGGACCTGTCCCGTGGTCCCCGACCGCAGACTCCTCACCAAAATCTCCAGCTCGCATGGCCCTGTCTCATGCACCTCCCCGGTGGAATCCAGCCGCTTGCTCTCCCCTCTTGGCTGCCTTCACAGCTGAGCTCCTTGTGGAAACCTGCGGACCAGTGCCGGTCCCTTCCACCGCAGGCGGTGGGTCTCAGACGCCATCAAACTTTGTGCTCCATGTGTCCTCTGTCAGCTCCCTCCTGCCTCCTCCCCGGCGCTGGTCCCCCTCTTTTCCCGGTGTACCAGAATGCTGCAGGTTTATGTCGAAGAAGTCGCTCGTTAGATGGGGGGATTTACTGGTGACGTCAGTGCCTGTTTCTCCTTCCCAAAGGACTTGTATGCTGTGATTAACGGTGGCATCCCAGAAACCACGGAGCTCCTGAAACAGCGGTTCGACCACATCTTCTATACGGGGAACACGGCCGTTGGGAAGATTGTCATGGAAGCCGCTGCCAAGCACTTGACCCCCGTGACACTTGAGCTGGGAGGCAAGAGCCCGTGTTACGTCGACACAGATTGTGACCTGGACATCGCCTGCCGGTGAGCCTCCTTGTACCCGAGGGCTTCCCGACACTGATAGCTTGGTGTGTCCTCTGTGCCCCGGGGTCCTGGGCCTCCTGGGTCCGAGAGACATCGTGGCATTCGGGTGGCTGATGTCCCCAGGGGCGGCGGAACTCTTTCCCAAACCACCTCCTGCCTCCGCTGCCTGAGGAAATGAGCAGCGGGTCTCGGCACTTTGTGGCTGTCCTTAGGAGTTACAGAGAAGTGCTTTCTTTTCTTGAGGTTACAGACCTGCCAGGTGATCCAGGGAGGGAGTAAAGGATTGCATGTACATAGTAAAATCTTTAGATTCCCAGCAGGAAGGTGTTACACTCGCCTCTTAATGAGTTCCTTTGTTGACAGAATCAGCGACTACTCATGTTTCCACTCAGTAACATCGTGCACCTGGGCACCAGAAAACGCCAGGTTGCAGGTGCTCCGCTAAATCAGTCTGGCTTTTCTCTCCTCTTCTGAGACGGGCAAAGAAGGCTTAGAGGCAGGCTGGCCGTGTCCAGGTTGTCTAGCTGCCAGAACCTGAAGCCTTGGGGAAAGATGCCGGTGGCAGGCTTTGATCCGCACGCGGGCATGGCTTTCCAGAGAAAAGGGGCTCCACAGAGAAGGGGGTGGTCTTGGGGGCTGGCTGCTGTCTTTATACCCGAACCTCCTGCCAGCAGGACCTACAGCCACAGCCAGAAGAACTGATGTCTGTAAGGAGCTCCCGGCGTCCCGATGCCCCCTTGGCTAGAGTCAGAGGAGACGAGGGTGTGGGGAGGCTGCTGCTTATCTCAAAAAGGCAAGGGCTTCCCTGCTTAAAGTACCATTTCCCGAAAGCTGGCATGAGAACGTCCTGGCTCCTCAGAGTGTACTGTGTCGATGGGAAAATGCATTCTAAGTTCCAACCGACTGACGTAGAGATTAAGTTTATAAAGAAAGCATTTTTGTTCTTTTTCTACAAAGCCGACTAAGTAGATTTATGAGTACATGCTAGTTGTAGAATACTCAAATTACAGAAAAGCATGTAGTAGATGAATAGTAGATTGAATTCTGTGGTTTTTCCGTTTTCTCCCCCATCTCAGGCGCATAACTTGGGGGAAATACATGAATTGTGGCCAAACCTGCATTGCTCCTGACTATGTCCTCTGTGAACCATCCCTCCAGCATCAAATTGTGCAGAAGATTAAGGAAACCGTGAAGGTTTGTGCTTAACACATCTGAGTGCATGATTTCATTAATAAACGTGTCTAATCAGCTCTGTGCAGGCAGCATCCCTGGTCGCCCCCCCCCCCTGCCACCCCCTGGAGAATTCCAGTAGCATATGTGGCAGAGTTAATTTATGGTTTTATTCAAAATGCTCTGGGCACCTTTCTGAGAAAGGTGTCTGCTAGGAGCAAGGTTAGGTTGGTGTTTAACACTCTTCAGCTGTCTAGTTGATGTGTTGGAACAACTGGTTAGTTGTGGCACAGGCTTTGAAAAAAAAAATCAGTAGTTATGTTTTGTGGTTTTTTTAGAGGATATTGGCAGTCCTCTGAAATGCAGGGAGAGGCCCTTGGCCTGTTGGCCGTTGCTGATTAAGGTTCTCCGTTCTTGCATGTACAGAGGGCTTAGAAAGGCTGGTAGTTTGGAGGAATGAATTAATCAAATATGTATTGATACTGTACTCGGCCTGGTTCTCTCAGTCTTTCAGGGTGTCCAAAGTAAAGATCTCTCTAGAAGGAATCGAGAAATGCTGTGGAAGTGGTCTGAGCTCAGCCTCGCAGAAATGTAGGATTTGGGTTGGAAGAAAGGAAGGGGGTGAACCAATGTGACTGAGCTCACTGGTGGGAGGGGGCCGTTTAAAGCCCCCTGGGTGGAAGAAATTTCTGCAACAGTCATAGTTCACTCAGCAGATGCTAACTGAGCACTGAAAGGAAGGATTGGGGACACCGAAGAGTAACATTATGATCAGAGAATGAAAAGCGTGCCCCAGGAAGTTGAGAGAAGACCATGGATCCAAGTGGGTTCACTCTGGGCACAAAGGGCTGAAGGTCTGGATGGGGCACTTGGCTCTGTGGGATGGGACTGAAGATGGGGCCAGAAAAGGAGAACATGAAAGGGGTCTTGGCCAGACTCGGGGAATATGGGATGTCAGGGTTTCATGACGTCCTGTGAGACTGAAAGCCCTTGGAGATGGGAGAAGACGTGCTTAGCTGAGTGTGGGGATGAACTTGGTTTCAAAGGAGTAGGATCCCCTCTGCCTTCCTCTGAGGCATTCACATCCTTAAGACAGCAGTTCTCACCTGAGGTTCTCCCATGTATGAGAAGTTTCCAGTCCTCACCTTCTGAAGACTGCAGTTCAGCTGGTCTGGGGTCTCCAGTGATTCTAAGGGGCAGGCAGCCTTGAAAACCACTGCATGTGGCTCCGGAGCTGGGGCCCGTCAGCATGCTGCCGGGGAGATTCTTAGCACCTAGACCTGGGGGGTTGCTTGGAGCGGGGTGAACAACACTCCTCCTGACTTGAGAGTAAATTTTTTTTTGGAAGATTTTATTTATTTATTTGACGGAGATCACAAGTAGGCAGAGAGGCAGGCAGAGAGGGAGGAGGAAACAGGCTCCCCGCTAAGCAGAGAGCCCGATGCAGGGCTCGATCCCAGGACCCTGAGATCATGATCTAAGGCAGACGCTTAACCCACTGAGCCACCCCGGTGCCCCCTGACTTGAGAGTAAATTGAGAGCATTCACTCCCGGCACGACCCCCGGCTGGTCTGCAGGATGTCCCTACAGACCCCGGACATCATGGAGGGTCCTCGGTGAGTGCGTCTGCCTTAGTTCTCATGTCCAGCCTGCCAGGAAGTGCAAACACTGTTAGACCACTTGAGGGAGGAGGGCGGCGAACTACAACCAGATGGCTTTTCGGGCACGGGTGGATTTTGCGCTTATTAAACTGAAATAGTCTTCTGTGGCAGTTAAATACAATGATTTTAAATAGGAATTTTATGGTGAAAATATAAAAGAATCTCCCGATTATGAGAGGATCATCAACCTTCGTCATTTTAAGAGGATACTAAATTTGCTGGAAGGACAGAAGATCGCTTTCGGTGGGGAGACCGATGAGGCCACACGCTACATAGGTAATGGAAATTGACCTTTTACTCTGGGGACACGGGCAGTGTGACAGTTTCCGTTGACGCTATTTACTGACGCTGAATAAGTTCTTGGAGATGTAATGTTTAAGGAGCAGTGACACGCTGCTTTCTGGTGCTCATTCTTATATAACCACTTAGAGCTGGTTCTGGGTCTTTACAAATAATACCACCTATTTTGCACTGACTTTTTGCCTTACATACAGCTTTTCTTTTTTTTCCCTCCCTACACCCTGTAACTTAACCCTGAGAAGCAAAACAGAACTCTTGTGTAATTCCTTCTGGTTTCTGGCAGGAGGGACAGCCCAAGGAGGAAATCATTCCACCACAAGTAGTTAGTGGCAGTACTGGTCCAGAAATAATGTTTCCTTGTTTCCTTTTTTTTTTTTAAGGATTTATTTATTTATAGAGCAGGAGGGGGGCAGAAGGGGGAGAGGGAAAGATAATTTTTTTTTTCAAGATTTTATCCATTTATCCACTTGATACAAAGAGAGACGCAGTGAGAGAGGGAACACAAGCAGGGGGAGTGGGAGAGGGGGAAGCAGGCTTCACGCCGAACAGGGAGCCTGACGTGAGGCTTGATCCCAGGAGCCTGGGATCATGACCCGGGCGGAAGGCAGGTGCCCAACCAACTGAGCCACCCAGGCGCCCCCAAACACATTGTTGTAAAATAACATAAGGTGACTGAAGAATGAGAGACACATTTACTCGGCTGAAGAGCTGCCCTATATAGCTTTACTTATCCCCTCTTAACAGACAGGATTCTGCACATCCCCAAAAAACCCAACTTGAAAGAAACTAAAACCCTAGAGGATTAAAACAATGAGGAAGAAAGTATTCTCGCATCAGTAACAGCCTTCAAACCCCCAGTTTTTCATCTTTCTGTTTTCCCATCAGCTGTTGACCTTGGCTGCTCCTCGGCGCATCAACAGCAAGAGAAAAGGGTCTATTGCAATTAGATCAACCAGTTACGAACGTACCCCTGACCTGCAGTCAAGGTCAGCTTACCAGCATGAACAGCTGCGTAGGGAGTAGACTCCCCCTGCCCCCACCCCAGAACGGTTCTCTGAGCCCGGGAAGCAGCGGGCGGTGGTTTTGGGGAGACAGCAGACTCCCCATGCAGGGTGCTGGCAAGAGCCATCTTCTGCCACGTTGCCGGGATGACCTAGTGGGAAATGAGGGGGAAAGGAAGAGAGCGAACTTGTTACTGGCAGGTGCCTTCTCTTTTCATTGAAGACCTGGCTTGTTTGTGGGGTCTTTCAGACCCCTGCAGTGTGGTCTGGCATGGCATGGATGCCGGGACTCTGCAAGGCCTTGTCAGCACCCATGTTGCCTGCCTGTCTTGCGCGCCTTCCCCTTAGTGGCTGGAACACTGAACTCAGGGTCTCTTGACCCCTGAAGTCCATTCTTAACCTGACAGAGTTAAAGGTCGGTGGCATCCTATGTGTGGAAGCATATGAACCAAGAAATGGTGTCCATTTGATCCACGGAGGGGCTGTGTGCAGTGCCAGAGGGACCTGCGCAGAGCGAGATGGAAACAACCTCCAACCCCCTGGTCCATGCGGATGTGGCTGCCGACAGGGTCAGACGTGACTAGACTCAGGCGTCTGTATCTTCTCCTTGCTTGCCTGGGGGATCCCCGGATGCACCAGCTTGGAGACAGACACACACGGTTCCTCCACATCAGGACTGATTTTTTCAGGACTTTTTTTTATATTCTTCAGTAGCTAATACTTGGGCGGGAGCACGAAGGGATGGATCAGTGAGCCAGAAACAAACATTAAGATGAGAGCTTGGCGGGGCGCCTGGGTGGCTCCGTGGGTTAAAGCCTCCGCCTTCAGCTCAGGTCATGATCCCAGGGTCCTGGGATCCAGCCCCGCATCAGGCTCTTTGCTCTGCGGGGAGCCTGCTTCCTCCTCTCTCTCTGCCTGCCTCTCTGCCTACTTGTGATCTCTCTCTGTCAAATAAATAAATAAAATCTTAAAAAAAAAAAAAAAAAAAGTGGAGAGCTTGGCGTTCCTGTCTTCGACTTCACCATTTCCTCTTGCTGCTTTCCTCTTCCAGCCCCAACGATCCTTACTGACGTCGATCCTGAAGCCAGGGTGATGCAAGAAGAAATTTTCGGGCCCATTCTTCCCATCGTGCCCGTGAAGGATGCCGACGAGGCCATAAAGTTCATCAACAGCCGTGAAAAGCCGCTGGCCTTCTACATCTTTTCTCACAACGATAAGGTAGGCTCTGCAGAGAACGGCTCCCTGGCACGAGCCGCTGTCACAGACCCGGTTCCTTCCCGGCCACATGGTCTGTTTCCTCCAGTAACAGAGTTCACCGAGCAAGGCGCTGCTCACAGACAGCTATCTGGAATAATGAGGCCCTGGGGTTATGGCTGCCACCTTTCCCATGCTCTCTGGGGTCAGACCTGAGTCTTCAGGGCTGTGTCATAATCTCTTGCGCTGACAAACATCTCCCCTGTAATTGTAAGGCTTCCTCACCAGCACTGGAAGCTTCTGTGGCCTGCACTCCCAGGGTGTTCCTGTGTAAGAGCCTTCGCTCTTACCCCAGTGGCATTTGTGGCCCTCAGTGGGCTGTGTGGGGCTGCGGTGTCTGGCACAGTCACGGGCACAGTTGTGAAATCGCCGACTTCACTTTCCTCAGTTTCTCTGTTAGAGCGAGGGGCCATACTAGTCAGGTGAGTCTGTGACGCCCTATTACACCAGGGTGAGCAGCCCCCCGACCATGTCGCGCGGCTCCCGAGGGCACCGGCTGTTGCTGAGGGACATTGGCCTCGAGGTGTGCAGGTGGGCTCAGGAGCCGTCTGGAGAAGTGGGAGAACCTGAGGGAGGGGGTGCCGGTCAAGGTCCGAGGAGTTTGCGCGCGGAGGTTCTGTGCGTGGTGACACACGGCTTCCAGAGCCTGCTGTGCTGTGGGGACATGGCCTTGTGAAGGGACCCTGGACGCGTGGGCTTCCGTGAATAATGGGTTATTAATCGTGGTCTGACGTGTTGAATGACCACAGGTGATGCACACAAGAGCCCTGAAGCCCAAAGTCTACCGGGCAGGGCACACGTCCATGGGGTGCGCTGCCCAGCGACAGGATCGCCCTACTACAGCCCACTGTGACCCTTGTGACTCGAACTCCCGAGGCCTTATGGGCAGCAAGGAGAAGTGACATTTCATCAGGTGTCCTCGTGCCTATTTTGGTCTTGGGCCAGCCATTTCTTCAAAACAGATCGAATTCCAAGTCTGAACACATAAACGTTCTTGGCAGTTCCCAAACACTCCAGGGTACTGTCAGTCCTGTGCCGTCATTCAGAGCAGAGGGGGAGAAACGGGCGATGGCTGAGACTCCGAATGCAGTCTGGACTGCTTCTCGTGGACAGAGGCTTCTGTGGCCATCAGGGGCACCCTGGCCCGAGGCGGGGGTGGAGCACACGGGAGGCTACAGCGGCCTCCAAGGGCCAGACGCGCATCCGAGCACATACCTCAGTCGCACATTTGCCAAATCAAGCCGCGCCGAGGCTGATGCAGGCAGCACCGTGTACCAGAGGCAGGCAGGCGGGCCTGGGTGTGCAGCCCGCGAGTTCCCCTCCTGGCCGCGGCCGGCGCCACGGGCACTGCTGACCTGGAGCCCGTGTTCCCTCCCTCAGCTCGTCAGACGGATGATCGATGGCACGTCCAGCGGCGGTGTCACGGCCAACGACGTCATCATGCACTTCACCCTCAGCTCGCTGCCCTTCGGGGGGGTAGGTGAGTAGCCCCCTCGGCCTCGCGTGGCACTGGCTGCCAGAGTCCCATGGCGGCGTGGGTCGTCTGGCCGTCAGATGACTCTGTCCTGTCGCCCCTTCCGTCCTTAGTAGCCCCCAGCGTGGTCTGTAACTGGTTTTGTTCCTTTCACTGGTTTGCCTATGTATTGGTTATTACTTGGTTACGGTTCTTTTCTTAGATTGAGGGGATTTTTTTAATTTTTATTTTTTGGCCAAAGCCAGGTCTCGGATTCACGGATAAGGCTCCTCTGTCTTTTTGACGGTGAGGTAGCGGATGCCGAGTGTGGAACACCCAGAGCAGGCGGCAGTCGGAGTTTCTGAGTACCCCCCCTTGCTGTCTGCTCAGGGTGGGGCGAAGTCGTCCTCGGGGTCCACCCCCACGGCCCCCCAGGCCTCTGTGTGGGGCGCAGAGCAAGAGACTCCTGGTGTTCTGAGGACGTGCTCGTTCTCGGGGAGGTTCCATGGACACAGCCTGGGCCCTGCTGTTCCCTTTGGGCCGTGACCCGCCTGCCTCTTCCACACTCCAGACGACCGGCCCTGCTTGTACTTTTCCTTCAGGAGCTAGGTGGTCGGCCTCTCTAATATCTTGTTGAAGTGTCACCAATAACGAGTGTGTAGGAATTCTCACAGTAAGAAGCAAACAGTAAAGCCACTGTGTTAGAAGCCCAAGACACCACAGCCTTCCACCCATGCATGCCCCATGTCTGGTTCTAGGGTGTGGGGGGATCGCCAGCGCCCAGCACCATGCCTGGTGCACATGAGGGACAGGTGGGGAGAGGCCTGGGCTGGGGCCCAGACTGGAGCTAGTGGTGGCTTGGACTGGCTTGGTTGCAGGGGACAAAGTGGAAAGGGGCTGGATATTTTGGGCGGGGGGGAGGGGGTGTCAAGCAACAGGATTTGCTGATGGATTGAGCGTCGTGGAGGGAGGGGTGGTGAACAAAAGGGAAGATAGCTTACAGGATGGAGGCTGCTGTTCCTCACTGCCCAGCTTCTTAAAGGATTCTGTGAGACTCCAGTCTCCTGTGCCTCAGTGGTTCCCCGCCCCCCAGGATCCTGGCTCCCAGCAAAGACTCGGGCATCCCTGGTGCCTCCTGAGTGCACGTCGAGTGACTTGTGTTTAGTCCCTGTTTTGCGTTTAGCATCATTGACCGTACCCTCCTCTTTATAACAAAACCTTTTGCCTGCTACACGCAGAAGGAATCAGGCTTCCTAGGAAAAGAGAAGAATTAAAGCTTAGATTACCCTTACCCCACTCTTTAAGCTCTGGGGTACGTCCTTAAAATTCCTTTCCTTGCGCATGTTTGCACACATACGTAAACGTAAAAGCAAGAATATTTTGTTTAAACTTGTACTCTGTTTTTCACCCGTGTGTGAGAGTAGAGTGGGGTATCTTCCCACGTCAGCACGGTCGTGTGTTGTGATTTCAGTAACCGACCAGTGCTCCGTCCTACAGATGGGCTGTATTTGCGTTTAATTCCTGGCATTAGGTTTTTGTGAGTCCACATTTTTCCAGGATAGGATTCTAATACAGTTTTGTGCAATTTCTGATTCTTGGGGAAAATGTCTCAAAGTATTATACTGTGTTAAAAAGGCTTAGAGCTGTTTTTTTTTTTTTTTTCAAAGTGAAATGTTTTTTCCTCCTGTTTCTTAAAGTGATAAGAGGTTTTTTTAGGGAAAAGGGCAACCACAAAACATTACGGACAGCTGTAAGGTTGAAACGTAGTAGTCTTCCAGGCATAAATGCTGTCAATGTGTTAACATATAATTTCGATTTCTCCGTAACAATGTGTGTCTTTTGATGCATATTACCGAATTTCCCTATAGCTTCAGTTGTCCCCAAAATGATGTGTCAGCAGCCCCCAGAGCACCAAGTAAGTGCCTTCCTGGCCCCATTCTCCTGTGCCTCATGCCACCGTGCCATACAGTGTATCTGCCCAGCACCAATAATAAAGAAGACTGTCCCAGAGCATGGCTTGAAAGAGGGCAAGGATTTATACTTGCTTATTATCACCCAGTGGGGTAACCCTGTCATCCTGTCTTTGTTGCTCTCTAGGAGCTTAGAGGAAGCAAGTGGGGGAAGAGGGCTGTGGCTAAACAAAGCCACATGGAACAGCAGGAAAAGAGCACATGGTAGTTAAGAGTCCAGCCGACCTGGATTCACATTCTGGCTTTGCATTCTCCACCTTGGGCAAGTTGCCTGACCCTGGCAGGCTCCCTCGTAGTCTCTGGAATGAGGGGCACTGATGCCTTCATACCAAGGGGTTGTGGCAAGAATAGATTTAGAGAACACAGAGCAGGGTCCTTGGTCTCAGTGAGAGCCACTGGCCCCGAGAGCCACAAGCCTCACTGGACCCTTGGAGAGTGCCCCTTTTTGGCAGGGAGATCAACTTGCTGGTGAAGGGAGAGGGGCGGGGCGGGGGGAGAACTTCCTCAAAGAATCTCTTGTGCTGAGAAGTTAGGTGGGGGTGTCCAGGCCGGCAAGGAGTGCCATGGGTTTCCTCCATTGGGGTTCATGCAGACAGGTAGCTTGTGTCCCCTACAATGGAGCCTGTCTTGTCTGGTCCCTCTGTTTCAGGTTCTAGCGGAATGGGAGCTTACCACGGGAAGTACAGTTTCGATACCTTCTCTCATCAGCGGCCCTGTCTGCTCAAGAGTTTAAAGAGGGAAGGTGCTAACAAGCTCAGGTATCCTCCCAACAGCCAGTCAAAGGTGGATTGGGCAAAATTCTTCATCCTGAAGCGCTTCAACAGAGGAAAACTCGGTCTGCTGTTGCTGGCTCTCCTGGGCGTTGTGGCAGCCGTGCTGCTCAAGGTGAGTCACTGCCTTTCCGGCCCGCCCGGTCGGCTGCCAGACACACCCGTCTTCTGTCATGGGAGCTCGTCGGCTTTTAGAGATAAACTCTGTCTCTCCTATTCACTTTCCGAGTCTGGGACAGGGTCGGTGAACTGCAGCCCCCGGCCGTCTTCCTGGGGAACAGCCACAACCCGGTGCTGACTTCATGTCCCAAGAGCTCAGTGTGTGCCGCAGTGGCCATGCAGCCGGCAGGGCCTAAATGATCACGGAGGAATTGTGCCGGCCTCTGGTGTAAGAGTTTAAGACCCCGGGGCTCCTGGATGGCTCAGTTGGTTCAGGGTCCTGCTCTTGATTTCAGCTTGGGTCATGATCTCAGGGTCCTGGGATCTGTGGGTTCGAGTCCCATGTGGGCTTTGTGCTCAGTGGGAGGTCCACGTGAGGATTCTCTCTCTCTTCCTTCCCCCACCCCGCTGCTTGCACTATCTTTCTCTTTCTCAAATAAACCAATAAATCTTAAAAAAAAAAAACCCCAAAAACAAAAACCCAAAGGGCAAAACCCTGTAGAACTTGCTGGAGGGATTCTGAGCCGTCCAGCGCTCTGATCCTTGTGGTCCTGGGTGTCTCGGTGGCAGTGCAGTTCTCAAGTGTGCCGGGCATCCGCATGGGGTGCCCACAGGTCACGAGGGGATGACTTGTGTGCTGGCGTGACTGTGGCAGGGGAAGGTGAATGCTTTGCAGCCCCCGTTGACTGCCCTGTAAATTCTGTCTCTGGGGGTGTTACTGTAGACGTGGGCTCCCCGAGCGGCCCATGATACCTGCCTCCCCAAGGCAGTCCATGAGTCCCTAGGGGTGACCGAGAAGGTCCAAGGGGACGGAATTGAAGACGGACATGGGGGCAAAGCCACCGTGTTCTCCGAGCGCTCGGCCAGCCAGTCAGGGCGACACACCAAAGATAGTGACAACACCCGTGACACCATAGCCTTGGAAGGGAGGCCAGATTCTAGCACTGGAAATACCTGTGTTCTTATCTGCATTTTGGTTCCAGTTTGCAAGCTGGGAGTGGCTCATCTTCCAGGGTCACAGCTCTGGTGGAACTGGAGAGACCAGTTGCATTGGAAATCATTTGGGTTTTCTCAGAAACACAAGGCTGTGCTGAGGAGAAAGGCCCTGTTGATTTTTCTCACAGCTCAGACTGCATTGTCCCATAAGCAGTGACGGACCGCAGATCCCACGGCCCAGCTCTGTCTTTAAGAGTGAGGTATGAACTGCTCTTTTTCTATCTCTGTGTAAAGTGGGTCGAGTCGGCAGTCTCTTGCTTGGCCCCGGGTATCAATGTTCAACCAAACTTGACTTAGCCATAGTTTTTAAAAGGGCCAGGGTGGCTCGCTGGGGTCTTTAAAAAAAAAATGTGGAGGTAATGGCTCAGCTGGGTCTAGATGAAGCCCACATCACTTCTAGAAAAAGGAGCGTCGTAGGTGTCCCTCCCTCCTCCCCATCCACTCGGCTCCCCTGGAGCTGACCCCCTCCGATCTATAGACCACACGTTACATGGTGAACCCTTTGCTTTCTAAGTGGAGACCAATCTTCTAAAAAATACTCTTAAGTCACTGTTTCCTTTGGAGTTGTTTGGGTGTTTCAAAAGAAGTGTGACTTCAGAACTCGTGCTGGCAGATGGCGTGAATCGAAACCCTGTGTGCCTTCGAGAGGCTCCTCCCTCCACATCTCTCCAAGCTCTGAGGCGTGCATGGGTCTCGAGTCATCCTCTGCCCTCTTCTCTTGTCCCCAGACACCTGTCCGTCCCCAGCCAAGAGGCACCATCTTGCTGGGGGGACCGCTTCACATCATGGGACATTCAGGGCTCCAGGCTGCTGGTGTTCCCCACAGGGGCAGCATTCCGGGTCCGACAGGCTGGGGTAGGCCAGGTAGCCCGCCCAAAGCTCCCCAGAGGGTTTGCCAGACAAGCCTTCTCTGTGAACGCCTACAGAAGCACCAGTGTATAAAGACATGTCACTTGGAAACAGGAAAATATGGCTTCGATCCCTGGCTCTGAGATCAGCCAAATTCCACCTCTGAGCAGGGCCTGTTCTGAGCCCACCCTTCGGCCTCGGCCTGCTCATCTGTGGAACAAGGGCCGCCAGCCATGGTCTCTCTCACCAGGGAGACCCGCTTGTCACTACTGTGAGTGGATGTGTTTAGTGGTTTGGACCTTTCTGGGTTCCGTGTGGGACCAGTGAGGATTGGGTTTTCTTTCCCTCTTCGCTTCTCCGCTGACTTCTCTTCTGACTCTGAGCTTCTGTCCTCTTTCTAGTAAATCACCTTTTATTTTAAATAAGCAATTCTGAGCCCACGTTGTGCCTTTATTTGAGGAGTCTTTATTGGGCCTGCACTCATTTTCCTGAAATGGCTTTTCTGCACGTAGTTATTTTGTCACGTGCTTGGTTGCGACTTCATTAATTCCTTTCACTAGAACGAGAACAGGCTTGGGACATTGTTAAATGGGAGATTGAAAGCAGCTCTGATCGGTTTAAAGGGAGCATGTCAGACTCGCCGAATGGAGAGGAGTTTTCTCTATGCATTTAAAAAAATTATGTGTGTGTGTGTGTGTGTGTGTGTGTGTGTGTACACACATCTACACCAAGTCAAGTTCCAGTAAAGTGTCACAGAAACCACAGAAAGCATGGTAGGGGGTGCCAGTTTTAAAAAGTTGAGAAATCGAAAGGGCTACCATTGAGAGATGTCATGAGGCCTTTGAGAATCAAGTATGCTGTCCAAGCTTCCAGATTTCGTGTGGAGGCTTCAGCCTCCCACTCACGACTGGAGGATAGTAAGTGAACATTTTCCATTCCTGGCCCAACCCTGGGGTTGTCTCACCACCAGGAGACAGAACACCACCTCCTCACCACTGCCTGACTTCTTATTGTTACTTTGCACAGGAGGGTATAGTCTTTTATCCTCAGCCCAGACCATGCTTAACATCTTAGGGAGATAGGGACCTTTTTTTTAAAATACAGTGCATTTTGTGTCTCTGAAAATAAGAGGCACTTGGTAGACTCCCGATACGGATCTCCTGTTCCAGGGCTGGTCAGGTGGGGTCTTAGACCAGCAGAGTAACCAGGATCCCTCTCTCCTCTCTCTAGGCTGGATACTACTGAAGAAAGATCCTGTTCAAACTCCTGGTTGCCTCTACCGGATTATTCCTCTGTTAAACAATTAATGAACCAATCATTTTAAAATCCTACCCAAAATAGTAAGGAAGTAACGCAAATGCACCAGAATTAACCGTCAAAGTCATTGTTGCGCCCCGTGGATAAAACCTGCCATCTCAGCCAAACTCCAGCCTTTCCCTCCGTGGAGGAGGGGACGCACTCCGAGAACGCATTTTACATGGGTCACCCAGACCTTAGAGCTTGAGTCTAGGGGAGGCGAACGTGTTATCCTAAACCCTTGGGACATGTAAAGGAATCTCAGAACCTGAGTCTGAGTGACTTCTTCACTCTAGTTCTTGGGACACAAGACACCCTGCCCAGGGTTATACACAGTCCTCTGCATCCAAAGAGGTGAGGCTAGACCTTCCAGCTCTGCTTGAGGTTTGAGGCACTAGAATTGTATATGGGGGCGGCGGGGCGGGTGGTCCCCATCTCTCATCCACTGGGACATGAGGACTTGACCTTCAGGAGTCAGCCCTCCTGTCAGATGGGCCACCTGACCAGTGGTCTTCCTCCTTTCTCATCCATTCTCCATCCTCTCTCCTGTTTATATTGGGACAGTTTCTTGGGGCCGTCCACAAATGCCTTCTGTGACTAATACCACGTAGAACATCACCTTGTAGGCCCCAGGGCTTCTGGGAAGACAAGTTGCCAATTTCATGCACGTATCATCTGTCATTCTTCCCGTGAAGGAGTTGTAGGATTCTGCATCTTCTAAAACCCTAACTGGCATGTTTAATGCTGTAATAAGGAGACTTCTAACAATACTTAGTCTCTCTCAGGATCTTAAAGTTTCAAGTCAGTGGATCTTCAAGAACAAATCTTTAAGTTTCTTAGGTCCATAGCACAATGCACATAAATTCCACTTTGCTAAACTTCAGAGAGATCCCTGAGTTAAGTGCAGCCTTCAGGACCTAACATGGAAAGCCACTGCCTGCCATGACCAAGAGGCCTTGGATAATCAGGACTTCGGAGTTGGAGAGCTTTGGAGGGGGCTGATGGTGGATTGTTTGGAGAAGGACTCTGTGAGCCATGGCAGTCGGCCACGCTGAAGAGGACGGAGGGCACAGGAAGGGGAGCGCTCTCGAGATGGCTGGGACTGGAGACCTGAGGAGGTTTAGCCCAGTGGGAAAGACCTCAGCCTCCCTGCCAGGCCTTGAGGACTCCTGGCTGCGGGGGCCCCACCCTCCCAGAGCATGTGTCGCCGGCTTGGTTGCACACGCTCAGACAGCATGTGACCTTCATGTCAGCATGAGGTGTTAGGAACTCATCACTAGGCTAGTCCATCAGGATAATCTGTCATAAAATATCTTAGAATATCCATGTGGAATTTTTCATTTAGCCTACTAAATTGTACTTTCTGATTTCTAGTCCAACTAAATCATTGGCTTGTCTGTTGGTATATTCTGCTTCAAAATAAATACATTATATTTACTAAAACTGGCATGAGGTTTAATGACATTCTTAGCATAGAACCTCTTAGGGCCTTGGAGACAATTCTTTGGCCCTAAGTTCCCCCCACCCAACTACAAAACCTTTTTTTGCCTTTATCTATCATAGGTGGTAATTACCAACTTTAAGTCCTGCTTCCTCAAATTCTGAGACAAGATTTTCTCAGGCTTTACTTTTTAAGGGAGGGAAGGCTGTGGGGGAGGGGCAGAGGGAGCTTAAGAAAGAGATTCTCCAGCAGACACCTTGTGGAGCACAGAGCCAACATGGGGCTGGATCTCACCACCCTGAGATCGTGACCCGGGCAGAAATCGAGAGCCAAGCGCTCAAATGACTGCACCACCCAGGCACCCCTGTGGCTTTTTATTTTTTAAAATACCTGTGTAGTAAATATGTTTTTTCCAGCTCTACCCTCGTATTCCCATTTGCTAATCTAAAACAAGCGTTTCCTAAGCCTCCGCCCAGAACACTAATCCCAGAAGGTTTTACACAAAAGTTGATCCCGCCTCCCATCCTGTCGACAAGAATTCGGGAAGCAGCCATATTAGAGGGTCTCCAGCCTGTAGAACGTCTGCGGTGCTGGTCTGGGTTGTTTCCCAAACTTACTTGGGCAGGGAACCCTTTGCTCTGAACACTTTGTAATCTTAGAACACATTTAAGGAAACGGTGACATTACTTTTCTGTGTTCGGTTCTCAGCCACTTCCTTGGCTTGCCAGAAGCTCACTAAGTTATGTGTGTCCCCCAGACAAGGAGGATCTCCGCCTTCTGGGAAGTGGGAGGCCTGGAGTGTCACCGGGTCCAACAACACGAATTCACGGTGACTCTTGCAAACTGGGATTACATTCTCTGCTTCCTTTTTGGTTTTTCTATTGGCTCTGATCAATAAATTCATTTTATTTGTGAGTGCATTTACAGCTCCTGATCTGAAGGGTCTGTGTGTGGCAGGGGAGGCCAGACCACCCTCCACTTTGGAGGCACACGGAGCCTGAAAACATTCGGCAGTCCCAGGCCTCCAGGAGAAGTGTCCTAGAATTGGGGTCAGCACTGTGTTCCACCCGAGGCCACGTGGCCTGGCGATCTGGGTCCAGCTGCTCTCATCTGTACCCTGTCCCTGCTGTAAGAGCAAGCGCTTCTCAAGGTCTGTGATCAGTGCGATGCTGATAGAACAGAGGGTCAGCGGAAAGGCAAAGGAGGGTCTGTGGACAGCCACCTGCCTTGTCTGGGTTTCCTGGCGCCCAGATCTGTAGGGGCGTGTGGGGCAGAGACGCACAGGGTCCACTGGCCCCAGTCTCGGCGTGCCACAAAGGCTTTGTGAACAGACCCGGGCACCAGAGTCTCCTAGAAAATAACGTACTTTTTAATTGGGTGACTGTGTTTCGTGATCGTGTTTTGATTGGAAATCTCCCAGTTGGAAGCCTTGTACATGACTGAATCTTAGCAGCAGCCCCAGCTCTCTCTTGGGTCGGTGGATGGCTTTGTCAGGAGCAGACTGGAGAAAGCTGTCACACGAGGCGCTGGCCGCGGCTGGTTTTCGGAGCTGTGGTCCAAGCTGCCCCCACCCCCCCACACCGGATCCCGTGGGTGCTTTTGCAGGCAGGTGTGGGCGGCAGGGTTGGGGGATGGGGGGCAGCCGCTCTTGGCTCCCTTTCTAGCTCCAAGCTGCACGGCTAGTGTCTGGTGGTCAGGAACCTGATGATCAGGCCCACCATCAGCATGGCTGACACCGCCCCCAGGGCAGCCCCGCGGCGGACGAGCAGCTGTTTCACTGACAGGGGGCTGGCTGGGGCTGACGGGGCTCGGGCTACTTCCGGCGTCCCGGAGAGGTCCACATGGCCCTCGGGCCTCGAATACATCATCAGAGTGATGCCCGGGGAGTTCCCCATAGCCACTGCAGAGGCAACAGGAGCCAACTCAGCGGGACTGGGAGGCTGGGGGGCTGGGGGCCTGCGGGAGAGCGGTGGCCTTAGAACCAGGAGGCCTGGCTGTGTGCGTTACACTGGGTGACAGTTAATAAATCAGCCTCGGTGCCTTAACATAGAGGAATGGGCCTCATCTACTCCACAGCAGGATCAGAGGAGGAAACGATGTGGTTAAGTGGGAAAACCTCTTGCCATATGAGTTTGCCGCATAGAGAAAGCTACCGCTAAGATCACCTTAAAGGGGTTCCTATCCGAGCCCGGCCTCATGATCAAGTGCTGAGCGTGACGTTCACATGTCTTCAGAGCGCACGTTGAATGCCTGGTCGGACCTGACGGTGGTCTCTTGCCACACTCTAAGCTGCCCGAGTTCGGTCTGCTGGCCCCTACCACGCTGCTGAACGCAGAGCCCAGGATGCCAAGAGGTCATGGAGATAAGTGAGGCCTCTGGGCTGCGTACACGCATGCCCCACATTCCACGCCTGCCTGAGCTAGGAGGGCACCCGGGCCTCGAACGCAGGCCGCCTCTTCATCACAGAGACCCTGGATATAAACCAGGGGTGCCCGCCTGTCCGATGGGGCACAGAGAGATGGGCAGGGGAAGGTGCCCTCCGCCCCCCGCTCCCAAGCCGGTCCAGCCAGGCTAACCTGCCGAGACCAACTGTCATGGGCTAGGGTGTGATCTTCAGGGAGGAGAACGTGCTCTAGGGTCTGACTGGCCCCTGCAATGATGACCTCACCTGTTCCAGCAGCGGGACCACGGGGAAGAGGCCTAAGCTTTCAGCCCTCCTTCCTCATCTGAGAACGCGGCCATAGTCATGACCACACGGGGCTGAGGGGGTGAAGTAGCTCGCACAGGGCCCCTTAATTCATCGATAGTAGCGTCTCCCCAGTATTTAGGAGGGGACATCCGCGCCAAGAGGGAGAACAGCGGGTGGGCTTGCACAGTCCCCGCCTGGCCCGGGCTCCAGACGCAAGGCCACCCAGAACGGTGTGCCCCCGGCAGGTGTGTGCCCCGCCGACCCGTTAGGCGCAGCATTACCTGAAGACGTGACGGCTTTCGCAGGCCCGGGTCGGGGGGCCGTGGTCGCCACGGTCACCGTGCCGTCAGGGATCTGCAGCCCCGCATGTTTCTGAGCCTACAAAAGCAAGAGCTTGCCTGGGTCGGCCTCCCGATCACCACTGGCCTCGCCAGCACCCTTCCTTAACACACCGTAATCTCGGGGCGCCTGGGTGGCTCCGTCAGTTACACATCCGCTTTTGGCTGGGGCCACACAATCAGGGACCTGTCTGGGTTCAGCCTCGTTTGACTGAGCTCTTTGCTTTTGTTCGGGTTTCCAGCAGCTCGGGCTGGCTAAGGGTTTCGGTGTGTGCACTTCTCCTTGTGGCTGGAGAGCACCCTGGCACCGCCTGGGGTCCCCCCGCAGCGACGGGAGCAGATGTGGAGGCCGAGGCGGCCTCTCCGTGCCCCTCACCCCCCCAGATCGCTGCTCCCCCGCGTGCCCTGAGCGCTTTGGGGGAGCAGTCAGTCTGCACGCTTGGCCAGGCCAGGGCCCACCACTCGCTCACCTCCTCTGCTGCGAGCTTCCAGTCCATCCGGGTGGTGTAGACAACAAAGGCAACAGTGCCCAGGAGGCCACAAGCCAGCATGCCCAGCCAGAGGCCTGCGGGAGACAAGCAGCCATGGGGACAGAGCGTCTGAGGGCCCCCCAGGTCTCTTCTGACTTTCCCTGGCAGCACATACCCATGATTCTCATTCTGACCACAAAGGTCAGCACGATGCCCAGAGGCAGACCGATGACATAGTACATGATGGCGTTCACAATGGCTCCGAAGGCCTGCTTGCCGGTCCCTCTCAGGACTCCGCCATACACGCACTGGGAGGGGAGGCAGAGAGGGGTGGGACACTGATGGCGGGCCTCCTGCCAGGGGCTCCCTTCTAAGCCACTCCCGTCGCAAGGCCTGCCTTCAGCCAGCACCGGGACAGTGCTCTCGTTCCCTCCTGTCTCCCCACTCCCCCCCGACCGAGTCGGGGCAAGTCACCCCCCCCCCATCTTCATCTCCACACCGTGACCACCTCTCTAGAAAATCAAGGTAGGGCCGGTGACCAACCACCAGCCGGTCCAGGAAACAGGACCAATGTCACATAGAGTTGCGCTCATGGAGTTGTGCCGGGTGGCCTCCCCACTGCTGCTGCGGCAAATTCCAGTAAATTAGCAATATGGAACAAGGCACAGGCACGGTTTCCCGGCTCTGGAGATTATGAGTCCGAAATGGGTCTTGTTGTGCAAAAGGCAGGGCAGGTTCCTCCTGGAGGCCCGAGGGGAGAATCCGTTTCCCTGCCCTTTGCAGCTTCGAGAGGCTTCCCTGCATTCCTTGGCTCTCGGCCCACAGACAGCGTGACACCACCACGTGTGTCTGGTTTGCGTCTTCCTTCTGCCTCTGGGCCTCCCTCTCTCGCTTATGAGAACCCTCGTGATTACATGTCGGGTCTTCTGGATAATCTGAGACCATCTGCCCCAGCTCTAGATCCTTCTTCACGTGATCCCATCTGCAAAGTCCCCTCCTACCACCTGACCTTCACGGGCCTGGGGATTCGGACGTGGAGAGGTATCTTTGGGGTGGGGGGCCTGATTCTGGAAACTGCACGGGGCAAGCAAAGGTGTCCCCTGTTATAGAAACTCCTCTGGGGAAAATACTAGCTCAGCTTTATCTTTCTAGGCTCGTCCTCCCAGCCTGATCCCCGACCTAGTGCATGAAGGACTACAGCCACGGTTCATGTTTTGTCCGATGTGTCTGATGCACAGACACTTGGTTCTTTTTCTCTCCCTTAAGGTAAAGCATATGCCGGTTTCTGTGGTTTGTTTGCTACATTTTGAGCAAAGAGGCAATGCGTGCAGGAGGGGAGATGGTGCCTCTTGAACTTGGAAATGAGGCCTGTGGGTTACTCATGTTTTATCTATCGTGACATAGAGGGTATTTTGGGGTTAGAAAAAGACTCCTCCCAAATGATGAATGATGTGGTCTGCACAAGTATTTCTCAGTGTCGGGCTCTAGGGGACATTTGGCAATGTCTGGAGATGGTGTGGGATGGTGGGGAGGGGTGTGTGACTGGAACCTAGTGGGTTGAGACCAGGAATGCTGCTAAAGGAGGTTTACGACAAGGAATTATCCATCTGAAATGTTATAGTGCCAAGGCTGCGAAGCCCTTTAGAGCATTTTGAATGACATGGATAGTCTCCAGTGCCCAGCACATAAGACGGGCCAGGGCCCACTGCCACTACCTCCTGTCTCCTCCTCTCTAGCGCCAAGGAAGCCAAGCCTAAAATTGAAGGGAGAAAAACCCAGAAAACCAAACTGAGTCGAGAGACAGCTGCAGGTTGTAGAGGAGATGGGAGTCACAGAAGCCCCGCAGGCAAATTCCCAAATAAAACAACAGGCCATGGGGAAAGGTCACACATGCAACATTCTCCTGGATGGGTCTGTGCCAGAGCACACGACAATTAAATTAGAGACACCGACAAAAGAAAGACCCCCAATATTGGAAGGTAACACACTTCTGTGGTTCTTTTTTTTGGGGGGGGGAGTTAATACGCTTCTAAACCTGTGGGTCAAAGAGTAAAGAACAGGAGAAATTGTAAGATAGCTGGATGCAAAGTAAAACAACATAGCCAATGAATTAGATGCCACTAACACAGTGCTTAGAGATGTGTAACTTTAAATGCCTAGATCCAAAAAGAAGGAAGGCCTCATACTGAGAGCCTATAAAATTAACAAGTCAGGAAATGATAGATGCTGGTGAGGTTGCAGAGAAAGGGGAACCCTCCTACACTGTTGGTGGGAATGCAAGCTGGTACAGCCACTCTGGAAAACAGCATGGAGGTTCCTCAAAAAGTTGAAAATAGAGCTACCTTACAACCCAGCAAGGGCACTACTGGGTATTTACCCTAAAGATACAAATGTAGTGATCCGAAGGGGCACGTGTACCCGAATGTTTACAGCAGCAATGTCCACAATAGCCAAACTATGGAAAGAACCTAGATGTCCATCAACAGATGAATGGATAAAGAAGATGTGGTATATATATATATACGTATATATATATATATATATATATATATATATATATACACACACATATATATATATACATACATATATATATATACACATATATACATAGATATATATACACACACAATGGAATACTATGCAGCCATCAAAAGAAATGAAATCTTGCCATTTGAGATGACGTGGATGGAACTAGAGGGTATTATGCTTAGCAAAACAAGTCAATCAGAAAGACAATTATCATATGATCTCCCTGATATGAGGAAGTTGAGCTGCAACGTGGGGGGTTTGGGGGGTCGGAAAAGAATAAATGAAACAAGATGGAATCGGAGGGAGACAAACCATAAAAGACTCTTAATCTCACAAAACAAACTGTGGGTGGCTGGGGGGAGGGGGGTCAGGAGAGGGTGGTGGGGTTATGGACATTGGGGAGGGTATGTGCTATGGTGAGTGCTGTGAAGTGTGTAAACCTGGCAATTCACAGACCTGCACCTCTGGGGCTAATAATACATTATATGTTAATAAAAAAATTTAAAAATTAAAAAAAAATTGAGAGCCTAATATTCCACCCTAAGGAGCTAGTAAGGGCAAAACCATATGGAAATAATGCAGGAGGGTGGAAATAATGATGATGAGAATGGAAATCGCTGAAACAGACAACAGAAAAACAACCGAAAATCAACGAAACCCCAAACTCTAGTTCTTTGATAAGATCCACAACAGCTGGGGCGCCTGGGTGGCTCATTGGGTTAAAGCCTCTGCCTTCAGCTCAGGTCATGATCTCAGGGTCCTGGGATTGAGCCTGCATCAGGCTCCCTGCTCAGCGGAGAGCCTGCTTCCTCCTCTTTCTCTGTCTGCCTCTCTGATCTCTGATCTCTATCAAATAAATAAATAAATAAAGTCTTAAAAAAAAAAAAAAGATCCACAACAACTGACAAACACTTGCCAAGGAGTTGACCTTGGTAAAATAAGACTAAGAAAGTAAGAAAGGGAAGACATGAATCACCAAAATCAGGCATGAGAGAAGGGACATAACCACTGACCCTAGAGAAAAAGATGATAAGGAAATATGGTGAGTAACTTTGTCCCAAAGAATTAGACAGATTTAGTTGAAATGAATAAACGACTAGGAGGCCACCGATTACTGAAAATAACTCAGCAAGAAGTAGAAAGTGAAGAGACCTGTAACAAATAAATAAATGGAATTAATTAAAAGATCTTCTGACCAAAGCTCAGGCCCAGAAGGGCTTAAATATATTTAAAGAAGGTATAACGCTAATCCTTCCCAAACTCAGAAAGCCTAGCAGGAGAGGACACTTTCAGAATCATTCCGTGAGGCTGGTGCTACCCTGACACCAAAGGTAGACGAAGAGATCGCAGAGATAAAAATTAGGGCGCCCGGGTGGCTCGGTTGGTTAAGCGACTGCCTTCCGCTCAGGTCATGATCCTGGAGTCCCAGGATCGAGTCCCACATTGGGCTCCCAGCTCAGTGGGGAGCCTGCTTCTCTCTCTGACCTTCCCCCTTCTCATGCTCTCTCTCTCTCTCATTCTCGCTCTCAAATAAATAAAATCTTAAAAAAAAAAGATAAAAGTTAGCAGATGAACATCCTTCATGAATGTAGGTGCAAAATCTTAAGCCAATTTGCCAAGCCAAATTCAGCAATAGATAACAAGATCTAGGCCATGGTGGGGAGGGCCTTATTACAGGACTGCAAGGTGTAACATTTTTTAAAAACCAATTAATGTGATTCTATCATATTGACAAAATAAGGGACAAAAGTCACTTGATTATCTCCATAGACATAGGAAAGGCATTCTAGAAAATCCCAACACCGTTCATGAGAAAATGTTTTAACAGACTAGGAGCAGAAGGGATCTTCCTCAGCCTGATGAAGGGCATTTATATCCTACAGATAACATTTCATGCTGAAAGACTGAACCCTTTTGTCCTAATGTTGGGAGCAAGGCATAGAGAGGCTCTGTGTGTATCCCTCATACTGGAGTCAAGTTCCAGCCACGTGGAAAGGGGGAATAAAACTCTTGATTCCTAGAAGACCTGATTCTATACGAGTATCTTAAAGGAATCCACACACACAGACTACTCAAATGAGTAACAAAGTCACAGGCTAAAAGAACTCAAGATGTGAGGTAGAAGATACAGGGTTCCAAACTCTGCTTCTAAAAGGAGACATTAGTGTTTTCTTTTTCTTTTTTTCAAATGTGACGCTCTTAAAAATTCATGTCATTCCGATCTGCACTAAATGGGACCCGTCTCGTAGCACTCAGAGATGCAGAATACTCGGGTCCCTCAGTACTCTGGGGTGACTCCCTCCCTCTCAGGTCCCTTTGCTCCAGAACAGGGTGGGGGAGTTAACGCTGGTGCAATCTTTCTCGCGTCTTTTGACTAGTTGGAAGGCTGAAGCGAAGGGGAGTCATTGTTTTGAATAACAATAGAATTAATCCGAGCCAAGGTTTTGGGCATTTCCTGTATACAGTTAGCCCTTTACCTGTTTCAATGAGTTAATCCTGACATCCCATGGAGGCCTCAGGGAGTGCCCATGAACTTGGACTTGGACTGGGGGGGTCAGGCTTCCCACCAGGGCAGTACTTACACAGACGGCCTCAAACAGCTGAAAGACGATATAAACTGGCAGGACCTTGTTCACCAGTGCGATGACTTCTCTGCAGGAGACACAGGGGAGAACATTCGTGAGGACATCTAGGGCATGACCATGTTCTTATCGCCCCTCTGTTCCACCACCTCCTAAAAAGGATCAGGAGAGAAAAAATGGCCCCAGATGAACCTGACATTCCTGGTGCTGAGTTCCTGCATGATCATCTGTGTTCTTAAACTCCAGAAGAACGATCCCTCCCACTCTCCTACCGCCCTCCGCTCGGCGTCGTGTCCAAGTAGGTGACGGAGGCTGCGGTCCAGGGACAGAAGCAGAGCCGGCTGCTAACTAGCTTCCTCCCAGTGAGAGCAAACTCCGGGCTAGTCCCACTTCCTCTGGACCCAGTGCCAAGCCAGTCAGCCGTGTGACCCTGAGGGCCAGCCGCCAGCCACTCTGGCATTTCCCAGAAGTGAGTGAAGAGAACTGATTACCTACTCATCATTTGTAAAAATAGGCCCCAGTTTGTTTTTCAGGAGGCTCAGCAGTATGGCCACAACCAGCGAGGTCCCAACTGGAAGAGACAAAAGGAAGTAATTTGTCCCCAAGCACCCCACCCTACCCCCACCCCAAGCACCCCACCCCACCCCCACCCCAATTGGCAGAGGAGCCCAGCTGAGGACCCCTCAAGGCAGGACAAGGGAGGGACTGTCCTTCCTCTTCTGGTTCTCCAAGTGGGCTTTCTGGACCAGGGGCTTCTGCATCCCCTGGTAACTTGTTCACAGTGTGGGTTCTTGGGCCCCCCTCCTCCCAGACCTCCCGAATCAGAAACTGTGGAGGAAAGCCCGGTGGTGTGTGGGCTGACACAGCCCTCAGGCCGATTCTAATGCAGCCGAAAATCTGAGAACCGCCACTCTCCACAGAAAGTCAGGAGGAGGACAGAAGATCGGCTCATCCAGGGGCGGGGGTGGGGGGTGGGCAGGCCCCCAAGCTCCTGGGGGTGCTGGGAGGGCAAATTTGCAAAAGGGCCCTGGACAGCTGGAGGGAGAAGCCTGGGGAGGAAGGGACTTCACATGGTCACACACTAAGGTAAGGGCTGGAAAGTTGTGTCAACTCAGCCCCAGAGGGGCCGCTCCGGGGGCCCAGTGGGGCTGGTTTCTCCCCTGCCCCGGGGCTCCAACTTTCCAAGACCCTTCCCCACTACCCCCAGAGGACTCTACCCACCTGTGCAAAGCATGCCGGAGATGGCTGACCGCTTAGCTTGGGCAGTGTCCGCGGCTCCCAGGGCTATCCCCACCCGGACACAGACCGCGTTGCTGAGCCCCAGGGGAATCTGGGATCACAGGTAACAAGGGGCGGTCAGTGGAGCCAACCTGAACGGGGTGGGTGGGTCCTGAGCCAGGGAGAGGCCGGGGCTGGGGTGGAGCACCCCTCCCACCCTCCAACCCAGGCCAAGAGGGAGAAGAGAAAGAAGACAGGACGGGTCCCTGGGTGGCGGCATGAGAAGAGAGGGCTGTCCGGCTGCGGTTGGGGGAGGGGCTGGGGATGCCCTGAGCCAGCCAGTCGTCCCCACCCTCTCCCGAAGATGTCACAAGGCCACTCGTGAGTAAACACATTTTTCAGAGGCAGCTGTGGTCTTAGGTATGCCAGAAAAAACAAGTTTTGTGGAAACCATTTGTAAAATAAAGCCCCTTATACATGAGTGCTGTAAGTGTAGACTTTTGTGAGTCATTTCCTTAAGCCTGGGGTCGCAGACTGCCTGTCCGCAGGAGGCTGGCAGATACACACCTGAGTGACAAGGGACAACTCACGTCTCTGGGGGACAGGGAGGTCCCCTGCCCCTGCCACCAGCACAACAAGGGAATGCCATCACCCAGCTCTCGCTGACGGGGGAATGCCGGGAGTGTGGGCCCACCGCTAAATGGAATGTCCCGTTTTTCAAGAGAATGCAAAAATTTTACCATGTGAAATTTCCCCCATTGTTAAATGGTGATCATTTAAAAAATTCTAACACGACTTTTAGTTCAGTATTACCACCTGTGGAGCAGCTGGCCCAGCAGGTTCCAGACCTGAATGGGCACAGAGGGTCCAGGAGAGTCCCTCAGGACATAGAGATGGCCCTTAGGGTGACCGCCCGCCCGCCCCTCTTCTGTGACACTCCAGGCCATCAAGGGGGCCAGGACAGCATGGAGGGTGTGGCGAAGGTACCCCCAGAAGAGACTCACCATGTAGACTATGGTGGCCAACTCGTAGAGGATGGCCTGGCCAGAGAGGTCCAGCATGCTGATCAGGCCTGCGGGGGGGGAATGGGGGGGACCGGAGGTGGGGGGCACACAGTCAGCACCCAGCCCTGGGGACGGACGGCTAAGAGATCAGGCTTTGGACGCTGATGGGCAAATGATTTCCAAGGGTAGATTTGCAATGGAAGATGTTCCTTCCTGGCCTTCAGCCTTCCAGGAAAATCCCAGTGGAATTTTCTGGAGGCTGTTGCCTGTACGGTTTGACTTTCCAGTCCTTGGTGTACCTCAGCATGGCGAGTGAGAGAAAGAGACCTGGGCCAAGGTCAGGAGAGCTGAGTTTGGGTCCCAGCCCTGCCACTGTGCAGCTCTGTGCGACTCTGGACAGTTTCTTGTTCTTGGGACTCAATTTACCTGTCTAAATGGGGGGCAAGGACTGACCCAGAAGGTCTCCCCACGCCATTCTTGCACAGGCCTGATTCTCAGGGTGTGTGAACGCCGCCCTGGGTGTTCTGATGAGAACACGCGTGTCACACCCCTGCTGGTTCAGTCCCTTGCTCCCTCACAGACTCAACCACCTAGCCCCAGGCACCTGCTGGGTTCTACGCCTTTTGCTGGGCAGTGCTGGGGTCCTGACATGAAAGGCTCAGGCCTGCCTTCAGGGAGCTCACGACCTCATAGGGAATATGAGAGAGCCACAGGCCCAGCCTGGGCCAGGCTGCTGAACCGCCCGCTTGTGGAGGAGGTTTCGGAGATGCGCACACGGTTCTCTGAGCCATGCTCGTCCACGTACCCATGAGGAAGCTCCCGATCTCGTAGGCCCACCACTCGACGCACACCATGAACATGCTGGGAATCGCCAGAGAGAAGAAGGGGCCCCAGTCCTGCAGACACTGGCTGGACCAGCCTAGGAACAGAAGCCCCGATCAGGAGCCCAGCCAGGAGCCAAGGCGCATGCCTGCTAACTGCAGGCGCCTCCTTAGGCCTCTGGCTCCGCCCACTCCCGGCTCAGCTCAGCAGGTGTAGACACTTTGCATTCTGCATGGGGTGTGCCAGGCGCATGCCTGCCCACTGCAGGAGCCCCAGCAGGCCCCGGGCTCCGCCCACTCCCGGGCTCCGCCCACTCCCGGGCTCCACTCAGCAGGTGTAGGCACTTCGCATTCTGCATGGGGTGTGCCAGCTGGTCCAGGGACCGTGTGGTGCGGGAGAACGATGCCGGGCAGGGCACCTGCTCACACAAGGGGCACCACGGGGAGGCTTGGGATGGGAGCCTCGGGCGTGGGTGACAGTCCCCACTCTGCCTGCAACACCACGGCGGGATCTTGGGCAACTACCCTGCACTTTCTGGGCTCCATTTCCTCATCTGAAAATCTGAGTTGTCTTTGCCCTGCCTCTCTGGAAGGGTTCTTGGGAGGATGGCATGAGGTCAAGGTTGCCGAAAGGATTCTCAGGGCAGATAGGGCTGTGCAGACATGGACAGTGAGGTGGGGAGGGGGGCTCACCCCACACTCCCTGCGGGGTGACTGAGGCCCCAGCCACAGAGCTGGTCTTGAAATGCCTGAAAGAGGACCCTACGGTCTTGCAGAGTTAGGTTTCAGGAGGCAGGAAAGCTCAGATAGCCACAGGTTCGAGTCCAGCCCCACCATGTGCCGTCTCTAGCATTTTGGGCAAATCGTTTAAACTCACTCTGTTTCCTCTGTGTAAATAAAATGGGGATAATAAGGTGTCATGAAGTCTAACTGGGGTCAGAAATGTCGGGCGCTGGGCCCGCTGCTGACACCTAGGATTTCCCCTGTGTCCTCACCCTGAGATCAGGGAGCAGGCCAGAAAGCACCCTGGGGCTGTCCCCAGCAGGGCTCTGTACCATGTTACATTTGATGGGGCGGGGTCCTGAGGGGTAGAGCAAAAGGGAAGGAGGCCCTGAGGGGAAGTGGAGGCAAGCCCGAAGATAGGGTCCCTCCAACGGGGCTGTGACCAGGCATTCTGTCCCCCTGCCAAATGCCAGGGTCCTGCCTGCTGCTTGTCTGCTCAGCCCCCCAAAGGCAGAGCAGCCCCCTGCACCTGCCCATGTCTCCAGGTGCAGCTTCTTCAGCACAATGTAGAGAAAGAGGAAGATGGTCTGCACGAAGAAGGAGAGAGTGCTGGCGAAAGCGGAGCCCCTGGGAAAGGAGAGAGAGCAGGGCTGGGCCAATGTCCAACTCTGGCCCTGGGGGGTGGGGCTCCCCTGCTGAAGCCAGCATGGAGGGGAAGGGGGCCCAGGCATGGCTCAGCTAGCATCCCCATCCCGGGATCGGCCACAGGACTCTCTAGTGCCGTAGGCACCATGACGACAGAGTCCCTGGAGTCACCGTGCCCAGTCCCCACTCTCAGCCTTTCCTGGTGGGCTGGGGCACGGATGAAGAGGGCTCCTCTCCTCTTCTCCTTGGTGAGGAGTCCCCCAGAATCTGAGGGACCAGTAGGACCCCCAATTCCTCATGACACCCCACTTCTGGATGACTGAGGCAGCCCCTATGGTTCTCGTGAGGTGAGGATGGTGACTGATCCGCCCCACTCAGGGGTGGGGTGCCTGGGGGACAGTGGTCCCTGATGGGGCCCCCGAAGCCCCCCAGTCCCAGAGCTCACCTGACCCCCAGTCTCAGCATGGAAACCAGGATGTAGTTGGCCAAGCCATTGATGCAATTGCCCACAATGCCACTGAAGACTTGGGGCCAGACGATTCCCTGAAATAAATGAAGGGGGTGGGGGGCAGGGGCGAGGGGTGTGGCCCAGCCCAGGCATATCCAGGGGTTGGAAAGAGGCCGGGGCCATGCAGCTCCTTGCTGGGCCTTGATCAGGCTCAGAGATCATGCAGAAAAGCCCCAGGCACCCCTTCCCATTGGAATGGGGCAGTGTGCTGGGACCAGGGGTCGCCCCTCTAGCCAGAGAGCTGTACCTGATTTTGCAAATATTTTGCCAGCAGGACATAAAGGAAAAATGCCTGTGTAAAACAAAAACAAAACAAAACAAAAAACCAGACACATAGATAAACAATGACTATCTCAAAGCACGAGATGACCATCAACAGGAATTTCTTTGATACCTGAGCATGGCGCTCTTACTTCACCAAAGTGTGCCCGGGGCCCCCTGAGGTGGGCTGAAGCCCGCTGAGCCATCTCTGGTGCTCTCACCCTGCCTAGGAGGATAAAGGCCCCTCGGGGCTCCTGCTTGGCCGCAGGGAGGGACAGATAGGTAGGGAGGGTTGGCTCCAACAGAGAACACAGCTCCGCAGGCTTGTGTAAGAGGCCGAGCATCTGGCAGAGAGCTCCGGGCTGTTGACCCTGACCATCCATCAGCTCAGGGAGGCCATCCAGGGGCCGGCGCACAGAAGCACCCAGCAGAGCCCTGATCCACAGGCTGTGACCACCCTTGAGCCTGGCTCCAGCTGCTGAAAACAATAATCTGGGGGGAGTGGCCTCGGGCTGGTAGGGGGTGAGATGGAGGCTGAGCAGGGTGGCCATCAGTAGTCCTGATTGAGTAGGCTCAAGTCCCCACAGGGTGGCAGGAGGACAGAGAGGGCATGCGTGCTGGGGGCTCCATTCCCGCCCTCTTCTGTCCTCTGTCAAAGCCTGGCCCTGGGCCTGTGCCCTCCTGCCCTATCCCTTCCCTTAGGCCTCTGGTTCACTTCAGTATAGCCCAATGCTTAAGAGCAAGGAGCCGGAGCTAGATTGCCTGCGTTCAAGTGCTGGCTCCGCTTTCTCATGAGCTGTGTGATCTTAGGCAAGTTGCTTAACCTCTCTGGGCCTCAGTTTCTTCATCTACAATGGGCATAATCATCTCTGTGAATACTGCATATTCATCTCTACATATATATATGTGAAGTTATAATAACGTCAGATGCTCACAAAACAGTAAATGGCACGTTTAAGCACGCCAAGTGTTAGGTAAGCATTATGTAAATGATACTTGGCACTTTTATTATTGCTTTACTGGTCAATTTTACGGCAACATTTTATGGGAGGGACTTGCTTTATTTGATAAAGGAGTTACTATAGTGATAACATTATAGGATGTTTTCCCCTGACCCAGCCCCACTGGCCCTGTCTGGCAAGATGCTAAAGGAGTGCTGTCGTTCCAAGGACGCCATCCCCGACCCACCACCTCCCGCCAGTCACATGTCTCGCTAAGCCTCAACAAATCAAAGAGGGTAGCAGTGGATTCCTGAGCAGACATACCGACCACTGGGGTCGGCTGGAAATCTCAGAAACGGACTTGACTAGATGCCCTGCTTAGTTGGTATTTAATAAATTAATGGAGAAAGGAGAGAATACGCAATCATGAGTCCTAGTTAAAGTTTGTTAGCTAGATTAGAACCTTAAGGATAAGAATAAAAACCATAGGAAGGCTCAAAGACCACACAGAGGCAAATGTTTATATAATCTTGCAATGACAGGGGAGTTAAGTGTTTTTAAACTCATCAAAGACCCCATAAAGAAGAGGGTTATGGATCTGTTATGTATACATTAGAAATTCTTTAGTCCAAAAATACTAAAAAATTAAAAGGCGAGTGACAAGCTTAAAAAATGAAAAAAGTGTGTGCCATATAGGACAACGGGTTATTAGTTAACAAGAGTTATAATAAATAGAAAAGGTTTGACCCAGGGGCTCCTGGGTAGCTCGGTCCATTAAGCATTGCACTCCTGTTTCCACTCACTCAGGTCATGATCTCAGGGTCGTGAGATCAAAGCCTGCATCGGGCTCTGTGCTCAGCGGAGGGGGGCGGGTGTGTCTGCTTGAGATTCCCTCTCTCCTTCTGCCCCTTCCTCCCTCCCTCTCTCTCTCTAAAATAAATAAATAAATCTTTAAAAAAAGATGAATCCACTAAAATAAGCAAAGGGAATGGACAGTTCACAGAAGAACAAAATGATCAATAAAGACATAAAAAAAAGGTTCATTAGCAATTAAATGCCTGTGACAACTATTTTGGATGGGAAAAAAAAAATGTTAGTAACAATACTATGCACTCACGAGAATGTTGCTAGTGGGGGAGAATGGGTACTGATTAGTATCAAAAGCCATTGCCAGAGCAACTCCAGTTCCCATAAAGCACCTGAAGGAAATCGTTACAGATGTTCAGGAAGATTTTTCTTTTTCTTTTTCTTTTTTTTTTTTTTAAGATTTTATTTATTTATTTGACAGACGGAGATCACAAGTAGGCAGAGAGGCAGACAGAGAGAGAGGGAGAAGCAGGCTCCCCACTGAGCAGAGAGCCCGATGGGGGGCTCGATCCCAGGACCCTGGGATCATGACCTGAGCCGAAGGCAAAGGCTTAACCCACTGAGCCACCCAGGCACCCCCAGGAAGATTTTTCTGTAAGAGTGTTTATCACACTCTTCTTTCCGATAGTGAGTACTGGAAACAACCAAAATGCCTGCCAGAAAGGGACTGGTCAACACATTGTGGCACTAGAGGGGGCTTCATAGCCTTCAAAATGGATGCGGAAGGCTATTTATAATCATATCCAGAGACTAACAGTGTATCGGAAAGGGGAAAAGCAGGTTACAATACAAGTTACACACGAACCCTCTTTCCAACCACTGGTGTGCCCAGGGAACAGAAATAACCCTGGAAAGAGTGATTACCCTTTATTCTCTCTGGGAGGCAGGACCAGAGGTGATTTAAAATGTTTCGTTTCCACGCCTCCCACGATTTCTCCAATGAAAGGTTTTCTAATCAGAAAACATGCTACTTCTTAAATGGGCAATCTTAAATGGACTGGAAGGAGACCCAGATTCCCCTCTCGCCTTCCGCTAGCCTCAGTGGCTGCGGGCTCATGGGCCTTCCCAGCATACAGCATGGAAAAGCATGGATGAACAGGGAAAAGCATGATCGAGCAAATGGCCAGAATCTAAGGGAGTGGAAGTCCACCCTCCTCCAGGCTCGCCAGCCAGAGGCACTTACCGGAAGTGCCGGAATGAAGATCAGCACGTACTCCTGGGTTAGCCTGCAAGAGAGCCAGAAGGTCCAGAGCTGTCCCGGCTGTGCCCTCCGCAACAGGGGTGGGGACTGGGAGGATGCCCGAGGAGCACTCTGGGCACCCCAGGTTTGAGGAGAACCTTTGCCTCTACCTCACAGGGTGCCACTACTATGAGCTAGGAAGGTTCCAGGAGGGGGTGGGAGGGTCCAAGGTCCTAACCATGGGGCCGTTGTGGCTGGGTAACTTCAATTGGAAGTCACATGCGGTGTGTAAGAGGGGGCGGGGAGAAGCAGAGAGCTCATCAATCTAGAAGCAAATGAAGTGCACATCCTACAAAACGAACAACGTATTCCCAAGTGGGGGCACAAATGCAAATACCTTCTCTTTTCTCCTTTTCTCCCAAATTAAAACTGGCCTCGTGTCTGCCCCCTGCTGGCCTCAGCTGGAGCAGCATGCCAGGAAGGGAGAGATGGGAATACGAGGATCCTGGAACCTTCCCCTACAAGCTGCTCCTGTGACTGCTGGCGACCCAGAGAAGCACGGGTGGGGATGGGGGTGTGCTAGGGAGTGGTCCTCTTTAGGGAGTCCCGGCAGAAGCCAAGCCGTACCTGGACACGGCTGGGTCCTGCCGGAAGAGCAGCAGGATCTGCTGGGTGTTGAGGAAGAGGGCCCAGCAGGGGAAACAGCAGAGAAGGAGAACCAGGGTCCCCCTTTGCAGGATGACCCCCACGTGCTTCTTGTTGGGGCTGCCGAAGCTCTGCAAAACAGCTCAGTCCTGGGTCAGGCTGCCCATACCTTCTGTACCTGCCCTCTGGCCCCTGGGGGAGGCCAGCCAGGGTGTCAACCTCCTAGCGGCGCTAGTGCTGTGGGGATGGACCCGGGACACCGTCGGCAGCCGGCCAGGCCTGGGGAGCGGGCGTCTGGCACCCCCTGATTACAGCCTGGAGGGGCCCCTCTGGGCTCAGCCTGCTCGCAGAATTACAACAGCGGTATTTACCGAGCACTAGCTCCACACCAGGCCCTGTGGCCAGCCTCTGTCTACCCCTTGTCCCCAGGTCTTCAAAAGCCCCTACCAAGGAGGGCCTCATTCTCCCAACCACAGCTAGAGCAAGGGAAGCTCCTAGAACATCTGTCAAGGCTCCATGCTGCTAAGTGGCAGCTAGGACCAAGCCTAGGTCCCCAGGTCCACTGTGAGTCCAGACCCCTCTCCCTAGGAAAGCTGAGCCCCCCTGGGAGGCGGGAGGGTTCCCACAGGTGAACCCTGTGCGTTTGACACCTGAGGTCAGGGAATGGCCTCTACCCCGTTCCCTCTACGGCTCTCAGACTCTTTCTGATGGGTCAAGTTCCTGATAGCATTGGGGTCCTTGCAGGCGGGCCGGGAGCAGCTGTCCCCGGGGCCTCTTTGACGGGCTCCCAGAGCCAGGGGTTACTGAAGGGCCTTCAGTGGGCACCCTCCTGACTGCCTCCCGGAGGCCCACCTACCTGGGACATTAACGTGTCACATGCTGAGGACAAGCCCAATCCTATGGAAACGCCACAGACATTAACAAACTGGAACCGTGCATGGGAGAGAACACAGGGCTGGTCAGGGACGGGGGGGTGCCGAAGGAGGGGAACCCAGGGGGGCACCTGGTGTCTGGGGGCTGAGCCAGAGACCCCCTTCCTGCCCAGGCCCTGCCTGCACCTGCTGTGTGACACTGGCCAAGCCCCCCTCCTCCCCAGTCCCAGCTGTGGATACAGCCATCAGCCCTCCTGCTGTGTCTCGGAGGGGGGGGATGGGGGGATGGGGCGTCCCCACATGGTCCGGCTATACTCACGGCCACCGAGAGGGTCACTGACGCCAGCTCCAGCTTGCCCAGGTGTCCGCAAAACACCGAACTCACGACATGGATCATGAAGGTCAGCACCTGGAACAAAAACTGGGGGACAGTGGCCGGGGTCAAGGGCCCTGCACCGCCCAGCCCCACACTGAGGGGGTCTCGCACCAGAGACCCACCGAAAAACACAGCCGCCGGCCTGGAGCGCAGAGAGCTGAACCCAAACATCTCATAATCCCATGGTGTTGTTCATAATCATTGGTCAGTCCTCATACTGGGCTGAGTAACGGCTGTGTCCAGGTGGTGGGATTAGAGAGAAGTGTCCTTATAACTTTCCATTTCGTCTGGAACTTTCGTAGGGAGAGTGTACTGATTAGTCTTTATGGCGAGAAGAAAAAAAGTATCTAAAGCAATTTTCCCATTGGAAATAGAATGGGCAGATGACCCCTTCTTCCCCCTGCAAACGGCAAGGGGGGGTCCTGCAGACCCTTGCATGAATGGGTCTCACTGGTCATCCCAGGGATTTGACATGGCCTTCCCATTTGTTTCTGGAGGAGGACATGCCTGCCCCTTCGGAGTCGGGGCTGCTGGCTGCTGAGCGAGGTCAGGCCCGACGACCACCCCAGGCACTGTCTGAGGACAGCTGTCCTGCTGTCTGTCACCTGCTCTGGGCGGTGGTCCCTGGTACAGCCTGCACATGGTCAGCGTGGGCATTTTCTGGGGAGGGATGTGAGCAGCTCCTGGCACAGTCCCCATCACATCTGGACAGCGGCCGGCCCCTATCCTTACCGCCTACCCGCCCCCAACTTCACCCTCTTACCAGGGGTCCGGAAAGGACGAAGAGCGTCCACACCTCGGCCCTAAAGCCAACGGGGACCAGCCTGCTGAGGGCAGGGCAACAGCCCCCTCGGTCTTGGGGGGCTGTGTCTCGAACACTGTCCATTCCGAGACCAGGCTGCTGTCCACCCTGCATGCCTGGGCACTCTCCTCAGCCAGCCTTGCCCAGCCAAGCCCATGTCACCTCGTGGCCTGGCTAATGAGTAAGGGACAGGAGGAGGGGCCCCTGCAGCAGCCTATGGAACAGGTCCTGTCTCCCGGCATCGTGGTCCGGTTGCCCAGCCCACTGGCTCTGTCACCAGGGGAGGATGGCACGGAGCCCCGGGCACCCGGGATCACCCAGGCTGATGTCTGTGGGAGGCTTGGGTCTGCTGTCCCGGGGCGGTCAGCTGCAAAGCCCCAGGAGGAGATTTGGGGCATTATGGGGGTGTGCGGGTTCTGGGGGTGAGCATGGGACGGCCTGGCTAAGGCGCTGGGCATCTTATACTCTGGCATGACTGTGCCCACAATGACTCCTGCTCCATAGATGGAGCAATGAAGACCGCCCACCCATACCCACCCCTGCAGGGAGGGAGCCGCCAGCAGGACCCCAGGACACAGCCCCTGTGGGAGCCAGACGGAGAGAGGAGGAGAGGGAAGAGAGAAGGGTCAGGATGCAAACGAACAAGATTTTGGAGTGCATGCTGCTCCCCTCTCTCCCAGACCCTTGCTTCACTCAGACTCCCAAATGCTCCGCCACTCTGTACACCCCGGCAACCTGGGCGACCGCTCTTCCTGCCCCCATTCTGTCGAGCGCCTAGTGCGAATTTCTACAACCCCCACATGACACAGCAAAACTAGCTGCCACTGACAAAGAGGAGCAAGGAGACATTTTATTAAAGTTGCAGTGATTAGCGTGTGACCGAAACAAGGCAGGGCCATGGGCTGTGTGGCTTGGGGCTACGATACAATGTGGCTCCTGTGATGCCTTTTCCAGATCTTCTCACCTTTCTGGGCTGGTTTGGTTTTGACTCTCGAAAGGGTGACCAAAACCTTTTCCTTCATTCCCAGGCACCTGGGCCTCAGGGGTGGGGGTGGGGAGGTCTTTGTTAGGTGACACCTGCTGTCCCCAGACCGGGGTGTCCTGCCAGTCTAGGCCCTCTCCCCCACTCCTGCGGCTGTGAAGTGACTTGGTCCTCAAAACCATTCCCACAAATGTTTCCCAGGATTCTTACATAAGCCAATAATGCCTACATTTCCCTCTGGATAAAGCCCTTCTTTCCCACACTGCTTTCAGGCCCCAGTGTGTCTGGGGTCCAGGCCTGGGGTGTTAGGAACAGGGACTAGGACCCAGGGGCCATGTGGGTGCTGCCTCAGGCACAGGGACGCAGTGGGAACTGCCTCCTCCAGGTGGGGCATTTCAGGATCTAGAATCTTCAAAATGCTCCCAGATGACAGAGGTTGCCAAGATTTCCAGAGAATGGTCTGGCAGGCTGCAGACCCAGCCTCTGCGCCTGGTGTTCTGGGACTCCAGTCAAGGCAACCAAGGTGGAGTTGAGCAGCATCTCAGAGGCCCTGGCACCCTCCTGCAGGGAGGTAAACGCTCGGGGGTGGGGGTGTCGGCCCCCCTCTCCAAGCTGCTCAGTGATATTATGAGCAGAGAGCAGCGGTGGCGGAGGTGGGGGGTTCCTGTCCCCACATCCCCTTTGGCCTCTGACAACACACACCACACAGTTCAGCCCTGGGGGAACAGGACCATGAAGCCCCATGACTTGGGGAGCCTCTCATTTCTTGGGGGTGACCTTCCCCTTGGGGCCCCATGACCCACAATGTCCTGCCTCATGCCAACTTCGGTGCCAATCACAGTTCTTTGGTGGAAACAGTAGAAACTCCCTTGAGATTCATGCCAGAAGAGCAAGGAAGGGGGCAGGATCGGGGGTGAGGGGGCTGGAGGGGAGCCAGATGGGGATAATCGTCAGCAGGTAATCATTGGCAGAAGAAAGCTGAGCACTCAGCCTGGAAAACAAGAGAATCCCGGCAACTTTGGACTCCAAGCTCCCGAGATGACTCAGCAGCAAACAATTTCCATCCCAGAAGCCAATGCTTGGAAGACAGAGCAGGAGCCAGCCGGTGCCGGTACTGGGAAGGGAAGAGGAGCAGGTGGGGAGTGGGGTGCTGTGGCCACCTGGAGTGGGGCAGTGGGCTACCCCAAAAGATGGGATGCCCTGCAGCTGGAAAGAAATCCTTCATAGTGGATCCACGACCCCCGCCCCCCAACCGCAAAAAAAAAACTTAGTGTCTTAAATCAGCCACCTTCTGTGTGCTGAGTCTGGGCTGCTGGGATCAGCTGGTGTGAGACCAGCGGGCAGGCCTGGGCCAGACAGTTCACGGGGGCTGGCAGGGGTGCGTGCTGAGGGCTACCCTGCCCACCGGGGTCTTCCTCCACAGAGTCTCTCTGGGCCACTTGGACTGCTCACCGTGCAGGGTTGGCTTGAAGAGAGAACATTCGAGAAGTGCAAAAGGCAGCCGCTTTCGTGTCAAGACACGGGGTGGGGGTGGAGCTGACACGGTCACTTCTGTCTGTGAGCCCGAGCTAACCACAGGGCCTGCACAGACTAAACAGCTTCCGTTTCCCTACTGGGAAGAGTGGCAGGTGACCCTCATCGTCTGTGACCCACTATATTCAGGCACACTCACTCCCCTCCTTCTGCCCCATTCTGCCTCCCCCGTCCACCTCTTCCCCACAGCCCCTGCCCAGCAGGGGTGGACAGATGAAGTCCCCCTCCCGGTGAGGGGGCCCCGGGCCTGTCAGGACCCTCCCACGGAAGAAGGACCTCAAGCCACAAATCCTGGGGTTAGTAGGAGGTGGGGTGAGGAGGAAGGGGGAGGGAGAGTCATTGCAAGACCCCCCCCAACACATCCTGGGGTTAAAGAGGCTTCAGCCAAGAACGGGAGCCTCCTCCCTACTCCCCCCGGGGTAATGGGTCCCCTACACGGAGCCTCACTGTACCACAAGGCATTCGGAGTGTCCTGGGAAGAGCTTACAGCCGTGGGGTAAGGAGACACATTTGGAACCAACCAGAAGCCCCTGACCTAGGGAAATCCCACGGCCCAGAAAACTCAGGAGGTCTCAGGCTCCCCGGCTGCCACAGGCCAGCATAGAGGGACTCCAGCAGCACTTTGAGGACAAGGCCCACGGTGCAGGGCGGGAGGCTGAGGTGGGGGCCTGGGCCTGGGTCTGCCCTCAGGTAACTGATTGCCCCGGGTGCTACAGCAGGTGCCAGGGCCTCTGTTAACTTCTTTCTTCGCTTGGTTACACTTCACTAGGACTGACCCTATTGTTTGCCCTTTGGCTACCCTAAGCCCCACATCCCCAGGCTGGGGAGCCAAAGTTTCTCTCTCTGATCGCCCCTCTCACTGCCCCTTTACTGAAAAAACTCCTAGTTGTCCTCTGGGGAGAGTGGCGACTCTGGCCTTCTGGTCCCTCAGCTCCACATCCAGCTTCAGGACAAAGGACAGTTGGAAAGGACAAGGTGTCTACCTCCTGCCTGTCCCCAGGCTGTCAGCTGAGTGGTGACGGACATCTCCCTGACCAAAATGCCCAAGGCTGCTCAGACACCCCCAAGGTAGCTGCTTCCTTCTCTTTCTGTGTCCACCCAGCACCTCTCCTCTCCCAGCCTCACCCCTTCATGCCCTCCTCCCACAAGGCTTCACTGGGCGCCTTCTCCACAGAAACGCCCAGAGCCCCGTCCTGACAGGAACTTAAGGCACTTCCAGGCCTGGAGGTGAGGTGGGGGGCAAAGCTGTGAGAGCCTCAGCAGGAACAATAAGGTCCCTAGTGAGACCTCCCAAGGGCAAGGCTCCCCAAACCCCAAAGATGGCGGGGGGCATTTCCAACTGGGAAAAAGTCCACAGGAATAAAGACGAAGATTCAGCCCTAGAGAGAAATGGGCTCTCCAGCCATAAAAAGACAGGGAGGCTCCTGAAATGTGTGTCGCTGAGTGAAAGAAACCAATTTGGAAAGGCTGCATGCTGAATGATTCCGATTATGCGACATTGACTGGGGACAGTAAAAGGATTGGTGATGGCCTGAGCCGGGTGGAGAGGGAGGGCTGAACGGTCGGGAAGGAGAATTTTTCGGGTGGAGAGACTATCCTGTACGATACTAGAATGGTGAGTCCATGCTATTACATATCGATCGAAACCTCTATAATGTACACCATCAAGACTGAATGCTGGTGTACATGTTGGACTTCAATTAGTAATCTGTATCCATACTCAGTTATAATCCATGTACCACCATCCTCTTGGAAAGAATTAATAATTGAGAAAAGCAGGGGTGGGGGGGAGGGGGAGAGAGGGGAGTCAAAATAAAGCTATACTTTTCGTACAATTTTTATATGAATCTTGAAGTGCTCTAAAACATAAAGTCTATCAGGGGCACCTGGGGGGGGTTCAGTGGGTTGAATGTCTTGATCTCTTGATCTCAGCTCGGGTCTTGATCTCAGCGTTGTGAGTTCAAGCCTGGTGTTGGGCTCCATGCTCCCATAATAATAATAATAATAATAATAATAGTCTATTAAAAGCTGAGAAACCAAGTCATAATAAAGGGGTAGCGTTTACTGAGGTCTAAGGAAAATACCCTACCCCTCATTGCTTAGTTTAAGAATGCCATGGTAGGGTGCGGCACAGTCACCAAAAGTGGGGACCACCCGAGTGTGCATCGACCTGATGGAGGGATGAACAAAGCGGGGTCTGTGCGACAATGGGCTTTTATTTGCTGTAAAAAGGAAGGAAACGTGGACCTCACGTACCACGTGGACGAGCTTGAAAACATGAGGAGTGGAAGAAGCCCGTCATGAAAGACCACGCAGCATGTGATCCCGCTTGCAGGAAATAGCCATTAGAGGCAAAGCCACACAGATAAAAAGTAGATTCGTGATTTCCCAGGGCGGGTGTGGGGGGAGCAGGGGAAAGTGGAGGTGACAGTGAAGGGGTACAGGACTGCTTTGGGAGGAGACAACCACCCACAGAGGTCCATGTCAGGGAAGGTTCCAGATGCAACAGGTGTAAGGGGCACAGCCTCGCTCATCTGTGAGTTCAGGGTGGTTATGCCCGTACCCAGTG